TTCATCACCCGCCTATGAGTGAGAATATGCGGTGTTTCATTTTCTGTTCTTGTGTCAGTTTGCTGAGGATGATGTTCTTCAGATTCATCCATGTCCCTACAAACGACACGAACTCATCATTTCTGATTGCTGCATAATATTCCATGGTGTATATGTGCCACATTTTCCCAATCCAGTCTATCATCGATGGGCATTTGGGTTGATTCCAGGTCTTTGCTATTGTAAACAGTGCTGCAATGAACATTCGTGTGCATGTGTCCTTGTAGTAGAACGATTTATAGTTCTCCATTATATTTTAGTCAGTGTCCTCCTGTGCTAATAAGAAAAATAAATTTAAATGGTACTAAACTTTATTGTAGTTTTATAATGTGTTTTAATATGTGGTAAGGTGACTCTCCTTTTCATTAGGAATTTTTTGTTATTCTTTATAAAGTGTCTCAATTTGTAAATGGTTCAAGGGATCATCTTTCAAAATAATCTCTGATTTATCCAAAGTTAAGATTTTTAGGAATAGCCATTTTATTATTTATTTATTTTCGAGAATCTTGTTCTGTCCTCCACATTGGAGTGCAGTGGTTCAGTGATAGCTTACTGCAGCCCTGACTTCTTGGGCTCAAGTGATCCCCCAGCCTCCCTAGTAGCTGGGACTATAGACACATGCCACCATGCCTGGCTAATTGTTAATTTTATAGGGAGAAAAACTCACTACGTTGCCGAGGCTGGTCTTGAAAACTCCTGGGCTCAAGGAGTCCTCCCCCTTAGCCTTCCAAAGTGTGGGGATTACAGGTGTGAGCCACCATGCCTGGCTCCATTTAAATTTTTGTTACAGAAATAAAGTGGGTTTCAGTCTTTATAGAAGAATGGAATTTAATTTTAGTCATATGAAAAGTAACTATGCTGAATTATTTTTTAAACTAGCAACAACTCATCTTTAATCTTATGATAATAATTTTATCATTCTTCACTACTCTATCTGACAATGATAATGAAAGTATTTTCATAGAATAGTTAAGGGTGTGTTCCAAAGGCATTTCAATTGTTTCAAGCTTGGAGGTAAAGTTACTCTGAGTAAATAATGTAGCTACATAGCAGTTTTGACTAAAAAAAAACACAATAAATTATTGTTATTATTGTTAAGGCACTCTAAGTGCCTTGAGGTTAGAATATATGTTTTATTAATTTCTGTATCTATCACAGCATCTTTTTTTATTTTTAATTTAATTTTTGTGGGTACATAGATGTATATATTTATGGGGTACATGAGATGTTTTGATATAGACATGAAATGTGTCATACTTACATCATGGAAAATGGGGTATCCATTTCCTCAAGTGTGTAGCCTTTGTGTTACAAACAATCCAATTATGCTCTTTTAGTTATTTTAAAATGTTCAATTAAATTATTATTGACTTTAATCCCCCTGTTGGGCTGTCAAATACTAGGTCATATTTATTCTTTCTGTTTTTCTTTTTGTACCCATTAACCATTCCTACCTCTCCCCAGTACTCTCATTACCCTTCCCAGCCTCTGGTAACCATCCTTCATACTCTGCCTCCATGAGTTTGTCCGAGCATCTTACCTTGCTTATTTATTTACTTAGGAGTCATTATCTAAGATACAGACTTCCCCATATAACATGTCTAATTGCTCACTGTCTTTATTTTTTCCCCATATGGTTTAAGGCTTCTCGATTTTCACACTTGCTGAGGACTGTCCAGAATATTACTGGTGGCTGGTGATGGGAACTGTCTGAACCAAAAATTCTTCCCTGTGGCCTTCTTTCTTTTCTGACTTAGGAAGAAGATACATGCATGTACATTCTTTCACTTAAAAATTTTGGACTTAAAAGATTTGAACCTGGTGGCTTTTTAAAAATAGATTTTTTTAATTCTAAAAATAAATTCTAAAAAAAAAATAAATGTGTAAGATTTGGAAAATGTGGGCAATCATGGTATAAAAATAACCACAGAGAAATTACTTTTAACATTTTGGTATACTTGTTTTCTTACTTTCTAACTCCTTTCATTCCTCCTCTGCTGTCCCTGCCCTTCCTGTGTCATATGATACATAAGTTTCAGATTCTGCATAGTGTTTCCCCATTTTAGGAGACATTTTTAATGGATGTATAATCCATCATGTGGATACACTATATATAATTCACACATTTTATAAACTCTCTTCCTTTTCTTGCTTTTCCAGAATTTGCTAAATTATGTATGCAGTTTTCTTGAGGAAAATTCTTCTTTTCTTTATTCTAGTGTCAGTTAAAAAAATTCTAATTCTGGTGAGAGTGCTGCTAGTGATATATCTATATTTCATATCAGTTCATTGATTCCTTTAATAAATATTTTTGAGAACCAATTGTGTGCCTGGCAGAATTTAAGGACACTCAGTTACAGTATAGTGCAATGAGTGTGATGATACAGGAAAACATAGGATCCTATGAGAACTAAGAGGAGGACACCTATCTTAGTTTGAAGTTTGGAGAGGGTAGTCAGGAGATCTTACCAATCTTGCTAGAGGAAGTGAAACTGAAGCTGGGTTTGAGGGACTCCATGATAGTAAGGTAGTCATACAGTGAGAGTGAGTAGTAAGGCACTTGAGGTAGAGGGAACAGATGCAAAGGAATGAAGATAACTGATAACATACCAAGTTCAGGAAGCTTTTATATTAATATTAAATGTGGTTCCAGCATATGCTGCATGTGAAGTAGTAAAAGAGGAAGCTGGTAAGTAGGCAGAGGTTATTTCATGAAAGGTCTTAAATATCATCCTTAAGTACCAGGAACTGTGCCAAGTGCTAGGTGTATAAACGAACAAAGCAGAGTCCCTGAGGAATGGGTTTATAGCTTTCATTCTCATATATACATCAGCAGTTCTCAAATCAGTATGCCTAGCCCAGACCTCTCCTTTGAGCTCCAGAGCTGTATATCCAACTGCCTAGTTGATTGACATCCTGAGAATGTAAATTCCAAGAAAGTAGCTTTTTCATTGCCTTTGTTCTCAGATGTACTTGCAGTACCTAGAACACTACCTGGCAATAATTTATCTAATGATTAAGAAAAAGAATGGCCAGGTGTGGTGACTCACACCTGTAATCCCAGCACTTTGGTAGGATGAGGCAGGTGGATCACAGTGTCAGAAGTTCAAGACCAGCCTGGCCACGGTGGCGAAACCCCGTCTCTACTAAAAATACAAAAAAAATTAGCCAAGCGTGGTGACAGGCACCTGTAATCCCAGCTACTCAGGAGTCTGAGGCAGAGAATTGCTTGAACCCGGGAGGCGGAGGTTGCAGTGAGGCCGAGATTGCTCCACTGCACTCCAGTCTGGGCGACAGAGTGAGACTGTGTCTCAAAAAAAAGAACAACAAAAAACCCCAAAAAACAAAACGATTCTTTGCTTGTGTTTCTCAGAGACATCTTAAATACCACATATCTCAAATCAAATTCATAGTCTTCTCCCTCTAACTTCTCCCTTTCCTGATATTTCCTATTTCAGTGATTGGCACCATCTTTGGCATATCCCTGTTCTTTACCTTCCATATCCATTGTTATCACCAAGACATACTGAATTTTCTACATGCTTCCTCGGATGTCCATTTTTCCATCTTCACTGCTCCAAGTCCAAGCTATCATCTCCTAGTTCTGTATAATATAGGTTGAGCATCCCTAATCCAAAAATCAGGCATCTAAAATTTTCCAGGATCTGTATGATGCTCAAAGGAAATGTTCACTAGCGCATTTTGGATTTTTGGATTAATGATACTCAACTAGTAAGTATACATAATGTAAATATTTTTTAAAATGTAGAAATCCAAACACTCCCAAGCATTTTGGATAAGGGATACTCAACCTTTAGGAGTAAACTCATTGTCTATTCTTGTTCCTTTCCATGTTCTTCTTCATGCTGCTATTGAAGTAAAACAAACCACCCTACTGAATCTGGTTGTGATATTCCTGTTTGAAACAAATTGCTCTTAGGATAAAGAATGAAATTTTTAACCTGGGCTACAAGGCCTTTTGTGCTTTGGGATCTGTATAACCATATAGCCTCATCTCATGCCATTTAAAAAATTTTTTTAGACATTTCTATTTTCTAGTCACATTGGCTTTTTAAGTTCTTCCAATAGACCATGTTTCGCTCCTGGCTCATAACTATGATGTATGATTAGTAACTTTTAATACATATTATAAAAGGGAACGACTATTGTAATAGAAATGAATGTATCAATATTTTTGAGTAGATATTTATAACCCTAAAAGGGTAATGTTCTGTGCAGCATTCTTTTCTTGAAAAGTAAACTGTCTGTGAATTATTGCTAATAAGCACAAGCATTTTCAGTTATAATTTGTTCCTTTTCAGATTATGTCACACATCTCAATTTTCCCTGAAGTCAGTAATAAAACAAACACTTATGAGCTACATTTATTCTATTTTAAAGTAAGAAAATGTTTTCCATTATAAATTTAAGCCATTCTGTTTTTTTCAGTGATGCAGTATGAAGATAGGAAGGAAATGTCTTATTTAAAAAACAAAACAAAATAATTAGACTTTATGTGAAAGTAGTGACTAATAAATGTAAGTAGGAGTCTTCATTCTGAAGACAGTCAAGATTTTTTATAAGATTTCAAATCACCTTTTCTAATTACTGCTAAAAAAATTACGAAAATTCTCACTAGCACCAATACACCAGAGCAGAGCTGTGTTACTAAACTGATTTATTGTATTCAGTTGTGAACAACTAAAGGAGATTATTGCTAGGTTTATTGTATATTTGGTAGTAAAGGTTTTTTGTAATTAAAATATAGAATGTCTTATTCTATAAGATTTTTGTTTGTAAGATGAGAGATTGGTTTTCTGTTTATTTCTGATGGTAAAAAGAGAAATTGTTTTGTTCATTTCCAGTTAAATTGTATTTAATCACTTAAGTAACTTTAACAGGTATGGCCCCATATAACCATATATATACTAATTACTTATTTTTCCTTAATTTTTTTAAAGAAGTTTTTAAAGGAATTTTTAATCAGTTTAAAATAGTAAACTCTACAGAAGAATGCAATCAAGTGATGGCTGTTCCTTTAGAATTTGAATATGGAGGCTACAGGAACAGACGAAGTTGACAAGCTAAAAACGAAATTTATATCTGCTTGGAACAACATGAAATATAGTAAGCATCATGTTTTAAAAATTGTATAAATCCAGAGAAATATTTGGCAATATGCATCATCTTCCTTCTTAAGTCACGGACAATTACTTGAGAACAAATGGATACTTTACTTTGTTTGTTTGTTTGTTTGTTTGTTTGTTTTTAAACGGAGTTGGGGTTTCTCCATGTTGGCCAGGCTGGTCTTGAACTGCTGACCTCAGGTGATCCATCCGCCTTGGCCTCCCAAAGTACTGGGATTACAGGCATGAGCCACTGCGCCCAGCTGGCATACTTTACTTTGAGTGAAACATTTCTATAAGGAATATAGTTAAAACTATATCCTGAAGAAGGAGCCAAGTATTATCATAAACATTGCTTAGAAACTCAAGCATAGGATGTGGTCTCCCCCCCCTTTTTTTTTTTAAGTTGCTAGAGTATATTAATATCTTGTATAGTGTTTTTTTTTTTTTTTTAGTATTCTAAAGCATATAGAATTTATTCAGGTGATGATAATACCTTGGCTTTTCAGATACAGTTTCAGGCAGCCTAATCTCTGTGCCAGGAAATAAGCAAAATAGGCCTCTTCACACAGAAAATAGACTGTAAAGTTCCTGCACTGATACTTCTGATGTTTCTCCTAGATCTTATTTTTAACCTAGTTCCTTTTTGCAAACAAATCCAATAAGAATTATATGGAGATTTTTGAAGCTCACCTAAGATGGAGAAGTACTTGGACAGAACCAGTTTCAATAGGAAAATAGCTCATATTCATAAAATAAGTGTGAAAACAGAATTCAGTAAAACACCTTAATGCAAATTCAGGAAAAACACAATTGGCAGTTTAAATTTTGTACCATAAGAACGTGGTGAGAACTTGATAAAGACCATTGTGACCTATCTGAAAATAAATTAAAATTAAATATTTTTCTTTCTTATGTTCTTTAATTGGATAGTTTTAAAAGTGTATTTGAATTTTTAACTTTATTTGAAACTAGGATGAATTGCCTGTATTTCCAGTTCATTGTTCAAATACTGTATTTTGCAACTGTTGCCAAAAATGCACAACCATAAGTAATAATCGATGGTTTGAAATTAAACAAAAGAAAATGCTGTTAGACTTTTAGTCTGAAATCTTTTAATTATAAGACGTTTTCTTTCTTTTTTTTTCCCGTTAGGTTGGGTGTTGAAAACAAAGACGTATTTTAGTAGAAATTCTCCTGTATTATTGCTTGGAAAATGTTACCATTTTAAATATGAAGGTAAGTGTAAAATTTGTAAATTATTTAAAAACTTTTGTAGAAATCATCATGTAACTTTTCATTGTTTGATTTCTAGATTAATCTACTTTTGCAATATATTTGCTAAGTATTTGTATTTCATATAATCCATAATATATTACGATGTGGTTTGGATTTCTTGTTAACTACTTGAGGATAAGGATCTTGTAATTTTTTGTTATATCCCCATAATTTTGGACTTACAGTATGAGTACTAAGTAAATATTATTTGAATTGATATGTTAATATTCTTTGTCAAGTTCTCTGATAATTAAAAATATCACCTTAGTTAATCTAAAACTGATAATTTTTTTAATTACTAAGGATGTTTCAGTATCTGAAATTGACTTTACTTGATGGTTTTGAATTTCCATGTATACAAATTCTTTCAATAATTATCTTATATTTTCTTTTAATAATTCGTGTTACTCATTGGGTGCCAGGCACCATGCTAGGCTCTTTAGGAAATATCTTTTTTTTTAAAAAATTATACTTTAAGTTCTGGGGTACATGTGCAGAATGTGCAGGTTTGTTACATAGGTATACACAGGCCATGGTGGTTTGCTGCACCCATCAACACGTCATCTACATTAGGTATTTTCCTAAGGCTGTTCCCTCCCTTAGCCCCCAACCCCTGACAGGACCCTATGGTGATGTTCTCCTCCCTGTGTCCATGTGTTCTCATTGTTCAACTCCCACTTATGAGTGAAAACATGCGGTGTTTTGTTTTCTGTTCTTTTGTTACTTTACTGAGAACGATGGTTTCCAGCTTCATCCATGTCCCTGCAAAGGACATGAACTAATCGTTTTGTATAGCTGCATAGTATTCCGTGGTGTATATGTGTCACATTTTCTTTATTGAGTCTATCATTGATGGGCATTTGGGTTGGTTCCAAGTCTTTGCTATTGTGAACAGTGCTGGAATAAACATACGTGTATATGTGTCTTTATAATAGAATGATTTATAATCCTTTGAGTATATATCCAGTAATGGGATTGCTGGGTCAAATGGTATTTCTAGCTCCAGATCCTTGAGGAATAGCCAGACTGTCTTCCACAATGGTTGAACTAATTTACACTCCCACCAACAGTGTAAAAGCATTTCTATTTCTCCACATCCTCTCTAGCATCTTTTGTCTCTTGACTTTGATGATCACCATTCTAACTGGCATGAGATGGTATCTCATTGTGGTTTTGATTTGCATTTCTCTAATGATCAGTGATGATGAGCTTTTTTTCATGTTTGTTGGCTGCATAAATGTCTCATTTTGAGAAGTGTCTGTTCATATCCTTTGCCCACTCTTTTGATGGGGTTGATTTTTTTCTTGTAAATTTGCTTAAGTTTTTTGTAGATTCTGGATATTAGTCCTTTGTCAAATAGGTAGATTGCAAAAATTTTCTACCATTCTGTAGGTTGCCTGTTCACTCTGATGATAATTTCTTTTGCTATGCAAAAGTTCTTTAGCCTTAGTAGAGGGCATAGGTTCTGGCAGTGAGAAAAACTGATGACTTTTGAGAGAGCATTTTTACTAGAGTGGTAAGAATAGAAAAGTTAAAAAAAGTCATATTAACAGCAGCTAGCCTATATTTATTGATGTCCTGATAGGTGCTATTTTCTATGGCTCCATAATATGTGCTAAAACTAAATTGCATTGTTTTATAGAATGAATAGTTATGATATTGAAGTAGAGAAGAACTTACTTTTGTATTTTGAGACAGTGTCTTGCTCTGTTGCTCAGGCCGGAATGCAGTGTCATAATCACAGCTCACTGCAGCCTTGACCTTCCTGGGCTCAAGTGATTCTCCCACCTCAGCCTCCTAAGTAGCTGGGACCACAGGTGTGTGCCACCACACTCAGTTAATTTTTTATTTTTATTTTTTATAAAGACAGGGTCTCCCTGTGTTGTCCAGGCTTGTCTCGAACTCCTTGGCTCAAGTGTTCCTCCCATCTTGGCCTCCCAAAGTGCTAGAATTACAGGCTTGAGCTACTCTGCCAGCCAAGAACTTGTATAAATTGTGAAACACAGTCTATAAAGGGAAATATTAATCAGTTTGACTAGATAAAATTAAAAATATCTACATGATATTTATACAAATATGTATAAATTCACATATATAACATATATATTAATGTATGTATATTATGTATGTATATATACATGTATATTAAAAATATATACACATGTATGTATATATAAATATACACATAGACATATCTAGACATATAATGTATATAATATATATAGTTATTTTATAAAATAAAATATCTATTACTTAGATAATAGATATATAATTATATATGCATATATAATCAAGAAAGATTCGTCTCCAAAATAATAATCACAAATGAATATGAAAAACATGAATAACCCAAGAAAAATGAGCCAAGAATGTGAAGAGGTGCTTTTTAAATAGAAACTTCAATGGCCAGTCAAACATAAGAAAATGCATATCCTGGTAATAAGGGGAATACAAATTAAAATGAGATACTATTCTTATCAGATATAATATACAAAAATTTAAAGGTTTGATTATGTCAAGTGTTAGCAAGGGTGTGAAGAAATACAAAGTGAAACACTGCTGGTGGAAGGGTAAATTGGTATAACCTCTTTGTGAGAAATTTGAGAGTACTTAGAAAAATACAGAATATATATAGCTTACAACCCAGCATTTCTTTTTTTTTTTTTAGATGGTCGTTGGGTGACTGAGTTATATGCTAAATAATGATCTTGAGTCACAACAGACTTTGACAGTGTTTCCCAATCAATAATCAGTAATCAAATATTAAAATGAGTTTAACTAACATGTATGTATTGTATACATAAAATACATTGCCACTAATTTTTAAAAATAGTGAATTATCTTCTAGAGTGATTAGAATAAGAAAAAATGTGTCTTATATTTACGACCCAGCATTTCTAAGACCCTTAAGTATTTACAGAGAAGTTTTCTATATGTGTGGGAATCACATGTACAAGAATTTTATTGTAGCTTTAATAAAAAATTGGAAGCAACTTAAGTGTTCACAAGAAGAGGATTAGATGAATAACGTTATTCATTCATTCTACAAGTATTTATTGAGAACTTACAATGTGCCAGGCACTGGGGTTACTGCTAAAAGTATGAAACACATAATCTTTACTCTCAAGAAACTTACAGTCAATCAGATGAGAGATATTAAATAATTAAAAATAATCCCATTATGATATTGATGATGAAGCATAAGTACAGGCTATTAAGAAACTGTTAAGGTGGAACAAATCAGAAGGGATATTATTGAATGCACATAAGGAGAAAGCCCATTGCAAAATGGTGTAAATAATAAGGGGATTTGTTTTATACGTAAGCAGCAGTCCTGAGGGTGGGGCTGGCTCTAGGTTGTTTAATTTGGTGCCGAAGTAACATCATCAAGCACCCACATCATAATCCATCTTTCTACTCAATCTCAACATGTGATCACCTCATACTCCTTATAGTAACAAGTGTAGGATATGTGAAATATATGATATATGAAATAATTCAGTGGAAGGGCTTTTTCTTCTTTGTATTATTTCTTATAAATACTTAAATTTCATTTTAATACTCTATATTATATATCTAAAAATTTTGAAATTACAAATTATTCATATTTAGAGAAAATAAAAACTTGTATGTATACTTTTGAGTAGTAATAGAACTGTACTCAACATAAGAAATACAACATTTTGAGTAATTTCCTTTAATTTTTAAAATTTTTAGTCAAAATTTTTTGTATTTAATTTTTGTGGGTACATAGTAAATGTATACATTTATGGGGTACATGAGCTATTTTGTTATAGGCATGCAATGTGTAAAAACCACATCATGGAAAATGGGGTATCCATTCCCTCAAACATTTATCCTTTGTGTTACAGACAATTCAGTTATAGTATGAATAGTTTTTTTTTTTTTTGAGGCAGAGTTTTGCTCTTGTCGCCTAGGCTGGAGTACAATGGCATGATCTCGGGTCACTGCAACCTCTGCCTCCCGGGTTCAGGCGATTCTGCTGCCTCAGCCTCATGAGTAGCTGGGATTACAAACGTGTGCCACCACATTATTTTATCTTTAATAGAGATGGTGTTTCACCACATTGGCCAGACTGAGCTCATTTTCCTGACCTCAAGTGATCTGCCCACCTTGGCCTCCCAAAAAAAACCCTCCTTGGGTTTACAGACATGTGCCACTGTGCCCAGCCTACTATGAGTAATTTTAAATCTCCTTATGCTTCTACTCAATTGTGTGTCTCTCTGTGCCAAACACAACCCCATTATCCTGAAGTATCTTTCATTATTTAGTGTTTCCCGTTTTTACATTTTTGTAAATGGAATCAAGCTATATTTTGCTTCTGTGACTTGCTTATGGTTTTCCAAGTTGCACTTTTGAGGTTTGTCAGTGTTGTGTGTCATTCTGGTTTATTTTACTACTGCATAATATTTCATTGTATGAATTGCCACTGAGTATTCATTCTGCCATTGATAGATATTTGGGTTGCTTTTATTTTTTGCCATTATAAGCAACAAATGTGGTACATTTTTGTTTATTTTGGAAATAAGACTGTGTTCTCAAAATTTTGGAAGTATCATATTTGCTGTTCACTAAAACTGTCTGCATGCTGGAAGGAATGAGGGGAATTGGTCATTTGTCAAAGAATATCAAATGTCTGTTAGTATTATCCATTATATGAATTCTTTTTTTCTAATGAGTATAAACCAAAACCACCCTATTATACCTTTCCAGAAATTGCTTTGGTATCCACAGGGAGGGAGGCCCTTTTAGTTAGAAGCACACAACTTTAAGTGATACTAATTTCGTAAATATAATTATGAAAACAAGAGGATTACTAGTAAATTAGGTCAAATATGAATTTGAAAAGAGATTCAAATATACATTTTGGAAACAGAGTCACAGTAAACAAGGTAAAGTATAAAACAAGGGAGCCACTGTAAATCTGGTAAAGGGGAGTCCCAGAGGAAACCAGGTAAGGTTAGAGGGAATGGGAGTATTTATTCAGAACAAAGGGTAGTATGATATTGAGAGAATACCATTAAGGATATTTTTGTTAGTGGAGGTTTTAAACTTTTAGAATACATGATATCAAGGTCTGTTGATTATGGGGGACTAATTTCTTTCTTCTGTGGGTATATAAACCCAGAATATATAAAGATTTGTGAATCCTATAATTGATTTTACTTTATTGAATTTCTAGTTCTTAACACATGTCCAGAGGTTATTGTCTTGCCTTGTCAAGACTTTCTTTGTTGCCTCAATGAAAATATAATATTCTCTTCTCCTCATTTAGGATATTTTAATGCTAACTTTTTTTTTTTAATCATTACACACTTAGGGCTTTTCAGACTTACTGTATGTTCGTTGATCTCAACCAATAATTTTTGATGCTCAAATTGTCATGACATAGGCCAGTGGAAGGTCCTTTGAGATTTGCTTCTATATCTTTCAACAAAACCATATTAATCTTACGTAACATTTTGCTTTCTTCCAGAACACATGTTCAGACCCACTTTGTACTTTTTGGTATCAGATAGGAAAAGCTAGCAATTTCCCAATGAGTCCTCGTTTTTTGTTGTTGTTGTTGTTGCTATTTTGTTTTGTTTTGTTTTGTTTTAGCAGAAAAGGTGTTACAGACGGTAATCTGAGTGCAAAGATGCTTTGTGGGGATGCTATTGACCCTGGCCGTTTCATTGGACAACCTAGAACAAATAAATGTTTTCAGTGTTTTTCTTACAAAGGCATGAATTCAAATTAATATTTGAAGTCTATTTCTAACTGGATCATATTTCTACTTATATTTTTGATTCTTTAATATCTTTCTATCATATAGAAATTTTCTAGTAGTTACTTTTGTTTTGCTAAGGATTTTAGGGAAGTTACTTTGGCTGGAGTCACTCATCTCTCACATTCTGTGGCATTTATCTGATGGATAGTTTTGTTCATTTGTTTCAATTTCTTTTCTATTTGAGGGCTTTGACAATCTGATGTCTTACAAGTCTAAGTGCTTTGAAGGTAACGGCTTTCAGCCACAGTGGTTTTTTTTTTTTTTTTTTTTTGACAGAGTTTCGCTCTTGTTACCCAGACTGGAGTGCAATGGCACGATCTCGGCTCACCGCAACCTCCGCCTTCTGGGTTCAAGCAATTCTCCTGCCTCAGCCTCCCGAGTAGCTGGGACTACAGGCGCGCACCACCATGCCCAGCTAATTTTTGTATTTTTAGTAGAGACGGAGTTTCACCTCGTTGACCAGGATGATCTCGATCTCTCCTTTTTTTTTTTTTTGAGACGGAGTTTCGCTCTTGTTACCTAGGCTGCAGTGCAATGGTGCGATCTCAGCTCACCGCAACCTCTGCCTCCTGGGTTCAGGCAATTCTCCTGCCTCAGCCTCCCAATTAGCTGGGACTAGAGGCTGAGGCCTCCTGAGTAACTGGGATTACAGGCACGTGCCACCATGCCCAGTTAATTTTTTGTATTTTTAGTAGAGACGGGGTTTCACCATGTTGAGCAGGATGGTCTCGATCTCTTGACCTTGTGACCCACCCACCTCGGCCTCCCAAAGTGCTGGGATTACAGGCATGAGCCGCCACGTCCGGCCCACAGTGGTTTTATATCACTACTACCGTCTGAGTTATCTACAATGAATTCATAACATTTTAATACAAAATTCTTAAACTTGATTCTGTCTCTGTTATTGAATTTCTAGTAATATTAGAACATGGTTGCAAAAATTAGATTATTTTAATAAAGTTAAATCTGTCCTGATTTCTCAAGCTTTTAAACTTATCTTGCTACCTTTCTGAGCTACAAACTTATTTCCTTGTGTTATACCGTTTTTCCTTCAATATGCTGTGCACTGTTATGTCAAGGTATCTGGCATATAAATTCAAATGGCCCTCCTGGTATTATCTAGACCAAATACCAAAAGTAAAAAAAAAAATTTACAATTTGTCTGTGAGCTAGCTATGAAGAAAGCAATTAAGAATTTATTTTATTTTTATAAATCTTGTCTTACCACAGATACCATGCTATAGTCTGGCTAGGATTTTTTCAGGGTTTCTCTTAGTCGACCAGGACATGATGGGCCTAAGAGCCATTAAGGAAAAATTATAATTTGGGGTTATCTCTGGTATATTAGTTGTATCTCAAAGACCAAAATGATTTTACATCTGTCATTGTGGATTTGTCTATTTCTTCCTGAAGTTCTATCAGTTTTTGCTTCATTTATAACAATTTCTACTTAATGTCATAGATAGGTTCTTGGAAACCGTGACTTTAAGTGAAACAATGTACAGCAGATCCTCAACATCCTTATGTTCAACTTCATTTCATTATCACAATGATGAGAAAAAAATTGATTTTATTGTATGTTGCTTTGCTAAAAGTCACAGTCTTTAAGAACTTATTGACAACATTGAGAACTAACTATTTTGAAGCTCTGTTATTAGGTGCATAAACATTTAGAATTATTGTTTCTTTATAAATTGACTCCTTAGTAGTTATAAAATGACCTTCTTTATTCCTGGCGATGTTCTTTGCTCTGAAGTCTATTTGTCTGATATCAATATAGCCACTTCAGCTTTCTTTTGCTTAAAGTTGCATAGTATGCTTTTCTCATCCTTTATCCTTTACGCTTAATCTATTTGTGTCTCTACATTTAAAATATGTTTTTTATAGGAAGTACTAGCTGAATCATGCTTTTTTGTCCAATCTGATAATATCTGCATTTTAAATTAAGGTGCTTAGAGCCAGGCACAGTGGGAGCCTGAGGCAGGTGTATTACTTGAAGCTGGGAGTCTGAGACCAGCTTAGCCAACATGGAGGAACCCTGTCTCTACTGAAAATACAAAAATTAGCCTGGCGTAATGGTGCATGCCTGTAATCCTGGTCTTTATGATACTGTTATTGTATATTTATTTACTCATGTTATACACCACTACATTTTACTTATTTATATGTTGTATACCCCATAATAAATTACTATTATTTTTGTTTAAATAGTCAAATATCCTTCAAAGAGGGTATCATGTTTGGTGTTCTTTATTCCTTTGTGTGAGTCTGTATTTCTATCTGGACCAGTGGTGTGATCATGACTCAATGCAGCCTCAACCTCCTGGGCTCAAGTAGTCCTCCCATTTCAGCCTCCCAAGTATCTGGGACTACAGGAATATGCCACCACACCTGGCTAATTTTTTATTTTTGTAGAAATGGGGATCTCACTATGTTGCCCAGTCTGGAGTGCATGATCTTGGCTCACTGCAAACTCTGCCTCCCAGGTCCAAATGATTCCTTTGCCTCAGCTTCCTGAGTAGCTGGCACCCAACACCATTCCTGGCGAATTATTTTATCTTTAGCAGAGACAGGTTTTCACCATGTTGGCCAGGCTGGTCTTGAACTCTCAACTTCAAGTGAGCCACCTGCCTCGGCCTCCCAAAGTGCTGAGATTACAGGCATCAGCCACTACCCCCAGCCGGAATCTTCCTGTTTTAGCCTCCCAAAGAGCTGGGGGTTATAAGTGTAAGCTACCACATCTGGCTAAGTTTTCTTTTAATGCAAGTTGGCTGGTGATGTCTTCTTCCCGTTTTTGTATATCTGAAAAAGTATTTTGCCTTTATTTTTGAAAGATACTTTTGCTGCATATAGGATTCTGAGTTGATGATTTTTTTCTTCTTCAGTACTTTAAAGATGTCGCTGCACTATCTTCTTGCTGCTTTTGTTTCAAGTGAGAAATCTAATAACCTTGTCTATGTCCCCTCCTCAGTTAATTATGTATAGAATATAGGATATTATTCTTAATAACAAGAGTATTATTGATAATACTTTATATTAGTTAACTCTACAGAATGTAAAACATTTCAGAATTCATTCTAACTTGATTTTCATAGCCGCTTGATTAGGCAGAATAAGATTTATCTTTTAAAAGTAGTAAAAAAGGATTAGAGAGATTGTGGCACACTTCACATCTTAAGAAAGTAATGATAATATATTGTTATGATTATAGACGTTTCTCTGATTATGGACTATATGTTTGTTTTTTTAGATGAAGATAAAATGTTACCTGCAACATCCGGATGTACAATAGAGGATCACGTAATTGCAGGAAATGTAGAAGAATTTCGTAAAGATTTCATTTCTAGAATATGGCTGACCTACAGGGAAGAATTTCCTCAAATAGAAGGCTCAGCTTTGACAACAGACTGTGGTTGGGGCTGTACATTAAGAACTGGCCAGATGCTCTTGGCTCAGGGACTCATACTACACTTTCTTGGTAGAGGTAAATCAAATCTCTGTTTTTTTTTGTTTTTGTTATCGACATTTTTCCATTTGAACTCGTTTACAAACTGCATGAATTGCCCTGAAGTTGATTTCTTGACTCTGAGGTTTTCTAAGGAGTTGTAACTAATTTAGTGTTTTTTTTTTAACTCGGTCAGATATGACTTGTATGTAAACTTTCCTGATTCCCTTTTCAAAAATGCACGTTAAATATACCTGTTATTCTTCGTCACCATTATGAGTTAAGTTAGTTCAATTTTTAGTACCCTTTGGATTTTATTGTTGTTACTATTTTTTTCCTTTTTGGTTGAACTCTGGATTATCTCCAGTTCGTTAAGTCCTGGGCAGGTCAATAACAGTGACTCTGGGGAGATACGTAATATTTTTTAAATCTTAAGAGACTTTACTCTTGTTTCTTTATTTTCTCCCTACATGTTAATAATGGTTTTAAAGGATTTTTATCTTTATTAGTGTGATTATAGTCAATTATATTAAATAGATCAGACATATTCCTTTAAAATTTTTTAATTTTTTTTTTTTTTTTTGAGATGGAGTTTCGCTCTTGTTACCCAGACTGGAGTGCAATGGCGTGATCTCAGCTCATTGCAACCTCCGCCTCCTGGGTTCAGGCAATTCTCCTGCCTCAGCCTCCCGAGTAGCTGGGATTACAGGTACGCGCCACCATGCCCAGCTAATTTTTTGTATTTTTAGTAGAGATGGGGTTTCACCATGTGGACCAGGATGGTCTCGATCTTTTGACCTCGTGATCCACCTGCCTTGGCCTCCCTAAGTGCTGGGATTACAGGCATGAGCCACCGCGCCCTGCCAAAATTTTTTAATTTTAAAATTATTTCATTTTTATTTTTTTGCAATAGGGTCTCTGTTGCCCAGGCTAGAGTGCAGTGATGTACTTATAGGTCATTGCAACTTGGAATTCCTGGGCTCAAACTATCCTCCTGCCTCAGCTTCCTGAGCTGGGACTACAGGTATATGTAATGCTTGGCTAATTTTTAAATTTTTTTTGTAGAGATGGGGTCTTACTATGTTGCCCAGGCTGGTCTTGAACGCCTAGGCTCAAGTGATGCTCCCACCTCGCCCTCCCAAAATGTTGGGATTACAGGTGTGAGCCATTGTGCCTGGCACTAGACATATTTCTAATAAGGTCATCATACAATGTTTTAGATCCTAAAAAATGTCATTGATACTTAACTTACATATATATTTTTCTTCCTAACGTGCCACCTTTCCGTTGGTCGATTTTTATTTTTTATTTTATTTATTTATTTATTATTTTGTTTTAGGGACACAATATAAATCCACACAGAGGGTATTTTTGGCATGTCACATAAAGCCCAGGTGCAGTGCGGTCAAACATGCAGTCTAAGGCCTGGCGCTCCAGTCTCTGGCTGAGTCAGTCTCTGCCTCCTCCTGGGCCCCCAGTTTTTTCACTGGATCAGATGATTTTTAATGTACTCCTGATGTTTTGATTCTAGGAAAATTAATTCTGCCACCCTTTTTTTTCTAGGTACTCTTAGCTATTCCACACACCATCTCAGTTGCAGAGCTGGGTGCTAGAAGTCAGATAGATGGCATAAACTGGTGGCTTACTTGGTCCACTTAGTAATTTTTGCAGTTAAGAGCTTGGAACTTGGGTCCCAGAGTTCTCTGTGTTTTATATGCTTCTTTGTACGATATATTCACTATAATGGGCTGTAAACCCAAATGCAGCACAGGGGATACCATGCTCCTCCTATGGATCATTGGGGTCATCAGCCACCAATTCTGCATTGCTTGGAGTTTCATGGTTTTCGTTGGTTACAAATATGATTTGATCCTTCCCTTCCTGCCAGCAGTAGGACATGGCTACAGCTCTGCTTTGAAACCTTGCAGAAGCGGCGGTGGCAGTTACAGTTTCACGCCGTGACCTCCCTCTTCTCAGGCAGGGCCAGCGCCTCCGAAGCCCGGGCGGACCCGCCCCCTCCAGGCCTGTGCGCGTGCCTGCCTCGGCAGCCCCTCCGGTCTATTTTTTTTTTTTTTTTTTTTTTTTTGAGACGGAGTTTCGCTCTTGTTACCCAGGCTGGAGTGCAATGGCATGATCTCGGCTCACCGCACCCTCCGCCTCCTGGGTTTAAGCGATTCTCCTGCTTCAGCCTCCCGAGTAGCTGGGATTACAGGCACGCACCACCATGCCCAGCTAATTTTTTGTATTTTTAGTAGAGACGGGGTTTCACCATGTTGACCAGGGTGGTCTTCATCCCTTGACCTCGTGATCCACCCGCCTCGGCCTCCCAAAGCGCTGGGATTACATCTATTTTTAATAATATGTACATTTGTCCCAGCTACTCGGGAGGCTGAGGCAGGAGAATTGCTTGAACCCAGGAGGCGGAGGTTGCGGTGAGCCGAGATTGCGCCATTGCACTCCAGTCTGGGTAACAACAGCGAAACTCCGTCTCAAAAAAAAAAAAAAAAAATAATAATAATATGTACATTTGTAGGAATATTTTAGTTTATGATTTCAGGATATCAGATTTGATTATTATCAAATATTATCAGATTTTTATAAATGTTAGACAGTATCCCTACCATGCATGTCATATATTTAGTAACTTTACTGTGGAGATTATTGATGAGATTATTTAGAGAGAATGTTTGTTGAAGAATGGTGTTGAAAATGCAAGGTAAAATAATTTTTAAACTGGTTTTCTGGGATGATTTATTTATAGTCTTGTGTAGTCATGGGCAAGGATTGGAATATTTTTCAGTCCTCACTAGATCTCTGAATCTGTGACTTATTTTGTTAACTTAAAATTGCATGCATGTTTGGGGATTGTCTTATTATTCAAAACTTTGACATAATGGATATATTTGACTTTTTGAGATCTTTGATCTTTTATGATTTCATTTATTAACTGTTAGAGAATTGTTATTACTCTGTAAATAATGATTAAGTTATTCTGAAGAAATGTACAGGAAAATTGAAAAAAATTTAAAATTTCCATGGTCAGACTTCTATTAAGACAGAGTCTTGCTCTGTTGCGCAGGCAGGAGTGCAATGCCACAATCTTGGCTCACTGAAACCTCCACCTCCCAGGTTGAAGCCATTCTGTGCCTCAGCCTCCCAAGTCCTGGGATTATAGGCGTGAACCACTGCCTGCCTGATATCCTCTTTACTAGTATTATAATTTTTATTGTGCCTTTGGGTAGTCAAGACTAGATGTTTTATAAGCAGTTTGATAATGAAATACAAAAGTCTTTATTCTATCTCAGCACTATCAAAGAACAGAAAAAAGAACATCTGGGATTGTCCATTTTTACCCAAGGTTACTATTTTTTCTTTCTTTTGTCTTGTATTTTTGTAATTTTTTTGATTATATGACTTTTTAGAAACTACAGAAAAGTACAGAGAATAATACCATTAAAATATAAACATCATGGATATTTTGGCATATTGTTGGCTTCTACCTTTGTTTTTTTAAACCGTTTTATTGAGATATATAGCCTATCATAAATTTGCTCCTTTCAAGTGAACAATTCAGTGGTTCTTAACATAGTTACAGAGTTCCACAATCATCACCATAAATCTAATTTTAGTACACTTTCATCATTCCTTGAAGAAACCTTGTACCCATTAACAGCCACTCCCAATACCTCCCCATAAGCAACCATTAATCTACTTTCTGTTTTCATGTATTTGCTTATTTCTGAATTTACTATCTTATATTAGTAACCCATATGACCATAAATGCTACATATTTATTTTAGTAAAATTGTTGAAATAACTATTATTTAAAAGATCTGAACACTTTGCTTTGGAACTACTGTAGCTTGGACCTGGCCTGATGCTTTGAATATTGAAAATTCAGACTCTGAATCATGGACTTCCCACACTGTCAAAAAATTTACAGCATCATTTGAAGCATCGCTTTCAGGGGAAAGAGAACTCAAAACCCCAACAATTTCTCTGAAAGAAACAATTGGGAAATATTCTGATGATCATGAAATCCGAAATGAAATTTATCACAGGAAAGTCATCTCTTGGTTTGGTGATTCCCCCTTGGCTCCTTTTGGCTTACATCAGCTAATAGAATATGGAAAGAAATCTGGAAAGAAAGCAGGAGATTGGTATGGACCAGCTGTGGTTGCTCACATTTTAAGGTAAATTGTTTTAAAATCTTTCTCTCTGTGAAAGAGGTCCTCAGGATCAAGAGATACTGATTTTTGCAATGTGTATATATAATTGGAACTTTAAAAGTCTTAACTGTATGAGAATGTTAAGATATTTTCATTTGCCAATAGAGAAAAAAGAAGACGTATTATGACTCTAGTTACATTTAATTTATTTACTGACAAATTTTTCTTCTCTTTCTCTTAGGTATAGATATCCCAGGTCTCTTTCTAACCAGGTTTTCATTAGAACACCTTATTGAAATGTTCTAAACACTAACATCTCTTTCAACCTTGGAACATGCATAACATTATAGTTTTTTAAAATAGTGTAACCTGTGGGCTGTAATGTACTGATAGTGTAATAAAATGTCATGAGTTAAAATTGATGTTTTCAGCATTTGTTTGTACACATCAAATTCTCGTGAATTGTAAATGTATAGGACTATTACTATTATATTTATAGTCAAAGTAAAGGATCTGTGATATTCAGGATAGTTAGAAAAAAGTTAAAAGTCCAATTTCACTTAAGCTTTTTATGTGCCATTTATTTCAATACTAAGTTTTTAAAAAAATTGTGTTTGTGTGTATATCCCATTTTTGTTATAAACTAAATCATTAATATGTCATATAAGTATAGCATGTTCTGATAAATTTACTCCATTTCTCCATTTAAAATCATATATAAATCTGAAATCGTTACAAAGCATTTTTTTTGGATATTAACATGCTTCTATATTTTATAGGCCAGACACTTACAATTGAAGAGTATTTGCCTAGTGTTATTAATTGGATTGTTAATGCTATATCAATTCCAACTTTGTATGACATTTATAAAAGCATAATTCTAAAAGCATAGTTTCTACCCTTCAAGATGTTCTCTATTGTGGGGGACAGCAAACTTTTTCTGTGAAGTGACAAATATTTTAGGCTTCACAGTTCTGGTCTTATAAAGGTTTCTGCTGGCGATCTTTCCTCTCCCTCCAGTCCCTTATAACTGCCAAAACCATTCTTAGCTTGCAGATGGTACAAAAACAGGACACAGGTTGTATTTGGCTTGTGGTGATAGTTTGCCAATCTTTCTTCTACGCTAACTCATAGGAACATGAATAATAACACATTTTAAGTGAAAGAATTCCAGATAAAGATATTGTTAAATAAAATTATATTTCCACAATTTGCATAATCACCATTTACAGATATTGTTATTATGATTTTTTCACATCATGTACACCATTGAGAATGTTATACTCAATAATATATATATGCATATATATATATATATATATATATTTTTTTTTTAAATGGCTCAAACATGGGAGGACTTTATTGTTCGAATTATGTTTGATTTCTCTAAATTCTGGGCAGGCCTCAGCACATAAGCCACATGACTTTTTGTCCAAGGCCATGTCCACCCTGGAGTTGCTTTATGACAGCATCCACAGCGACCTTGACAGGTCGATGTCACTTCTGTGCCTGCTCAGTTGTCTGTTGATCAAAAAGACCAGCACATTATTGGTGGGCTTCTTGTGTTTGAAGAATTTGTCAGACTTCTTGATATTCAGTGCAGGCTTGTTGGGACTGGCTTTAGGGAGTTCTTTACCCATGATGCAGCGGCTCCAAACAACCTCAGGAAGACAGCTGAACTAAGAAAGCAGGATCACAAGGTCCCACCACAGTCTGTCTGCAAGCTGAGAGCAAGGAGAGTCAGTCTGAGTCCTAAAACTGAAGAACTAGAAGTCTGATGATATTCGAGGGCAGGAAGCATCCAGCACAGGAGAAAGATGTAGACTGGGATGCCAGGCCCGTTTCAGCCTTTCACGTTTCTCTGCCTGCTTTATATTTGCTGGCAGCTGATTAGATTCTGCCCACCAGATTAAGGGTGGGTCTGCCTTCCCCAGCCCACTTACTCAAATGCTAATCTCCTTTGGTAACACCCTGCAGGGACACCCAGGATTAGCACCCTGCATCCTTCAATCCAATCATGTTGACACTTAGTATTAACAAGTCCACCCCTTGTCAACTTGAACCCATACATATCTCCTGAGATCACTCATAATCTTCAAATAAAGACAATCATAAGGTCATAATTATGCCTAACATAATACAACTATTCTTCATACACCCGGAAACGAGCCAATCCCCAACCCAAATGCCATCACATAAAATTAGCAATACTTAAATGCTGATATTAAGTCAGTAAATCTTATGTCACATGATAAAGGACAAGGAAATCAAATGAGGATATTTTCTTAGTACAAGTGTATATGTGCACAAACATGTTTTTAACAAAAGAAAGAGAACATAATCATGACAATTAACAGTCCTCGTTTCTGCAGCTGGTCAGGTGGTCATAGCTGATATCGATGACTGCCTTCTACTACCCATTCTGTATTCCCTTTGCTGTCAACAAGCACGTCTGCAGCTTGTGGTTTTTTTCCTGGTGGAGTGACTGAAACCTTCATTCCTGAAGGGTCTGGGTCATTTGTAGTCCTGCCTGGATTGGCTGTTGTAGTTTCCCATTGGCCTTAATCACAGGGCATGTAGTACTAAGAGATGCCCTAAGGGGTCTCCTGTATTCCATGCATACCCTTTTTTGTTTGTTTTTGAGACGGAGTCTCTCTCAGTTGCCAGGGCTGGAGTGCAGTGGCACTATATCTCACTGCAACCTCTGCCTTCTGGGTTCAAGCAATTCTCCTGCCTCGGCCTCCTGAGTAGCTGGGATTATAGGCTCCTGCTATCATGCCCAGCTAATTTTTGTATTTTTAGTAGAGACGGGGGTTTCACCACCTTGGCCAAGCTGGTCGTGAATTTCTGACCTCATGATCCACCCGCCTGCCTCGGCCTCCCAAAGTGTAGGGATTACAGGCGTTAGCCACCACACCTGTCCCATGCATACTCTTCCTTACCTCCATTGTGGAGAAGTAGACTGATTTTATCTTGATAGTCTGGGTCAGTCACCGGACTACACTGTAACTCCTTTATTAACTTGTTGACTTAAAGGTAGGAGGAGCCCATTCTGTCCAATCTTACCATCCAGTTTAATGGAATTGTTGTGTCTCCTAGTGGCAGCATTCCTCCCTCTGGATCTAAGACCTCTAGGCCAGCAGAACATAATGTCATGGCAACAGGAAGCAAAAATTTTGCTTACATTATCACTTTCATCACCATGAGGGCAGGAAGCATGCAGCACAGGAGAAAGATGGAGACTGGGAGGCTAGGCCTGTCTCCAGGAATATTTTTTAATTTACAGTTTTACTTATATACTTTTAAGATTTAAAATTAGAAAATTCATTTGTTCAGGTTATGTAGGTTTTTGAATGTAGGAAAAAAGTCATGCTGTTGTTTAAAGAATGAAAACTTTCTTAAGTGTATCAGAGGACATACACAGTAATTGACTCCTAGTCAGTAATGTAAGTTAATTTGCAGCAAATCTTGTAGCATATTCGTTACCACTGGCAAGGTGAGTGAGTGAAAGAAATACTTCTTTTTGGAGGGAGAGGAATAGAGCTTTATACCCAATAATTTTTTAAATTATTTTGTGATTTATGTTTTAATGTTCTTTATGTAATTTAATGGAGTATTCAACTTTGAAAATTTTAATCTGATTTCTGATACCATTCAGAAAATAGTTTTTGACAGCAGACACTATGAGCTAAGTAAGAACAGCACAAAAATGATGACCTTTTTCCTTCTTAAATTAAATTTTTAGTTACCAATAGGAAATGTTAAGATTTTGAATGATAATGCTTGTTATTTTCTCAGAAAAGCAGTTGAAGAAGCAAGACACCCAGATTTACAAGGAATAACTATTTATGTTGCACAAGATTGTACAGGTAAGGAATGAATATAATTCTAATTTTTATCAGTTTTATTTGGTTATACTTTTTATATGTGTTTAGTTTATCATCCCAGTAATACTGCAGTGATTATGAAGGCAGGGACCATGTCTGACACATTTTTGTTCCTAAATGTAGTAAGCACTTAACAAATATTTTTTGATTGAATACATACTTTGAATTTTTTGATGTAATATTGAAATAAATTCTCAAAGAATTTCAGCATTTCAGATGATTATTTAAAAAGAGATAGGCAGGAAAATTCAACATAGGTATATACTTGGGCTGCATGTATGCTAGGTACCATTTCATTGGTAGATGTGTTTCAAGGAAAGAAAATTCTTAGTTTATGTTAAAAGGAATTGAATATATTTCTCATTAATACTTTAGTAAATCATCTAATAATGATGCAGCTATTGTCCAGATTTGCTTTGTTTTATTGTTTTGGGTCTTCTTTTTGATGATCACTCTCTCTACAGGTTGAGTATGTTTTATCCAAAATGTTTGAGACCACAAGTATTTCCGATTTTGTCGTTTTTTGGACCTTTCAATATTTGCATATCTGTAATGAGATATCTAGGGGATGGGACTGAAGTCTAAACATGAAATTCATTTGTTTTGTATATTCTTTATACACATAGCCTGAAGGAAATTTCATACACTGTTTTTAATAATTTTGTGCATGAGACAAGGTTTTGACTATTTTGATTGCAACTTGTCACATGCAGTCACATGTAGAATTTTTCACTTGTGAAAAATGTTGTGCTCTAAAAGTTTCAGATTTTGGAGTAGGAATGCTGGATGTATAGTAATTTTGAAACTTTGTTGGGATAAAATAGAGACTTTAATTCTTAATAAAATAAAAATGGCTTAGCCACATCATGCTGTTAAGTATATATTTTTTACAGAAATACTGTTACAATTATAAAATATGTTAATGTTTTAGAAAAGTTAAATATACTTCAATCATGTTTTAATACAAGGATATCTGTAAAATGCTTAAGGTTACCCTGCATTTTTCTTTGGCCTTTTGTTAAGGTTAGTTTCCTTTTAAAGAAAGACTAATACCTGTAATTATAGCCATATGAAAAGAAAAGGTTAAATTTTTAGATAAATATATGAGTTTTGCAGGTACTATGTTTGTTTTTCCAGTAGGAAGTCTTGCAAAAAATTTGCTGTGTTAAATAGTTCTAATTAACGCTAAGGATGTACCTAAACAAGTAATCATTAAATAAATATATGAATTTATCTTTTGTGCTTTTATTGACACAGTCAGCCTAGATCTTTGTTACATATAATTAAGCAAACATTACAATGTTCTTTGTTATAAAAATGGTTTGTGTAATTTGAAGTAGTTCTTAAATTTTTTTATTCATGTTTAAGTCTCCTAAAGGGAGAACTCGTATTTGTATAATTTTGATAGATTGTGAGATTAGGAATTCAGTGAAACCAGATTCTGCCAATGATTTCTTCTCCCTCTGTCTTCGTTAGTGTTTTTAAAGTTTTTGTTTTCCATATATTATTATTTTTTCTTATTCTATGTTCTTTTCCTTTGTAATAGCATCTATTTTCATGGCTTTAAATACTGTATACTAGGACTTTTAACACTACATTTTTAGGTGGCTCATGGTGGCTCACACCTATAATCTCAGCACTTTGAGAGGCTGAGGTGGGCAGATCACTTGAGCCCAGCAGTTTGAGAGGCAGTGTGATGAAATTTCGTCGCTACAAAATATACAAAACTTAGTTGAGCGTGGTGGTGACATGCCTGTAGTCCCAGCTACTCGGGAGGCTGAGGTGGAAGGATAACTTGAGCCTGGAAGGCAGTGAACCCATGTCGTGCCACACTGCACTCCAGCCTGAGCAATAGAGTGAAACCCTGTCTCAAAAAACTACATTTCTAAGCCTACCTGAGGCAATATATGATAACTCACATTTTCTGCCACCTTTCAAATATCTCCACTTACATATTCTACAAACACTTCAAATTCAGTATGTTTAAAACTGCTGTTTCCCTCAGTCCCACCCCTTTTTGCTTTCTGTTTTCTCTTGACTGGCACATCCACATATGTACTCAAGTCCTAAGTAGAACTTCTCATTCTTGACTGCTTTTTCGTTGCTTTTATTTAGTCAGTCACCATTTTAAAAAATGTTCCTGAAATCTGTTTTCTCTTCTTTATTCTTGTTGATTTAGATCAGACTCATCTCTCACTTGAACTTTAACTTGATTTCCCTACTTGTCTGTCTTCCCTTTTTGGTACATCTGATCAAAATAAACTGATCATGTTCCTTTATCTAAAACCAATGACTGCCCACTAGCTCTAGTCTTATGTTACCTTGGCATATGAAGCACCATGAAGTCCTTTATAATTTGTCGTGACCTACATTTCCAGCATCACCGTCTAACACTGTCTTCCATACACTAAAGTATTTTCCCCTCTCAGGCCATTCCTTAGACATGGCGTCGTTATCCTTTTTCCCCATGTCTTTGTACATATTATTGCCTCTGCTTGGCATGTTCCTTTATTATTAGAATGCCTCTTGTTAAGTTTATTTTTTATTTTATTATACTTTAAGTCTGGGGTACATATGCAGAACATGCAGGTTTGTTACACAGGCATACATGTGCCATGGTGGTTTGCTGCACCCATCACCCTGTCATCTACAGTAGGTATTTCTCCTAATACTAGCCCCGCACTCCTTGACAGGCCTCAGTGTGTGATGTTCCCTTCCCTGTGTCCATGTGTTCTCATTGTTCAACTCTCACTTACGAGTGATAACATGCGGTGTTTGGTTTTCTGTTCTTTTGTTAGTTTGCTGAGAATGATGGTTTCCACCAGCTTCATCCATGTCCCTGCAAAGGACATGAACTAATCTTTTTTTATGACTTCATAGTATTCCATGGTGTATATGTGTCACATTTTCTTTATCGAGTCTATCATTGATGGGTATTTGGGTTGGTTCCAAGTCTTTGCTATTGTAAACAGTGTCGCAATAAACCTACGTGTGCATGTGTCTTTATAGTAGACTGATTTATAATCCTTTGGATATATACCCAGTAATGGGATTGCTGGGTCAAATGGTATTTCTGGTTCTAGATCCTTGAGGAATAGCCAGACTGTCTTCAATAATGGTTGAACTAATTTACACTCCCAACAACAGTGTAAAAGCATTTCTGTTTCTCCACATCCTCTTCAGCATCTGTTTCCTGATTTGTTAATGATCACCATTTTAACTAGTGTGAGATGATATCTCATTGTGGTTTTGATTTGCATTTCTCTAATGACCAGTGATGATGAACTTTTTTTCATGTGTTTTTTGGTCATATAAATATCTTTTGAGAAGTGTCTGTTCATATCCTTTGCCTGCTTTTTGATGGGGTTGCTTTTTTCTTGTAAATTTAAGTTCTTTGTGGATTCAGGATTATTAGTCCTTTGTCAGATGGATACATTGCAACATTTTTCTCCCATTCTGTAGTTTGCCTGTTCACTCTGGTGTCTTTTGCCGTGCAGAAGCTCTTTAGTTTAATTGGATCCCCTGTATCAATTTTAGTTTTTGTTGCCATTGCTTGTGGTGTTTTAGTCATGAAGTCTTTACCCATGCCTATGACCTGAATGGTTTCACCTAGGTTTTCTTCTAGGATTTTTATGGTTTTAGGTCTTCTGTTTAAGTCTTTAATCCATCTTGAGTTAATCTTTGTATAAGGTTTAAGGAAGGGGTCCAGTTTCAGTTTTCTGCATATGACTAGCCAGTTTTCCCAACACCATTTATTAAATAGGAAATCCTTTCCCTATTTTTGTCAGGTTTGTCAAAGATCAGATGGTTGTAGATGTCTGGTGTTATTTCTGAGGACTCTGTTCTGTTCCATTGGTCTATATATCTGTTTTGGTAACTGTTAAGTCTTATTCATTCTTTAAGAACACGCACAAAGGTTATACCTTTGGCAGTCTTTCCCAGCTGTCGTTAGGCAGAATTAGTTTACTTTTCCTCTGTGCTCTGTAACATTTTGGAAATACTTCTATTAAATATTGTACTTGCGATTCAGTTGTGATACCACCTTATAAATTCCTGTTTCTTGTATATAATATTAATGATTGTTGAGGTAGCAAGCGTAGAGGTAAGGTATCAGAATCATTTGGTTGAGATTCTCTGCTGTAATGAGCCTCTGTTACAGAATTGGACTATGTCATAGCCCTTACATATATAGGAAGTGGAGGAAAAACACCAAATGATCAGGCTAGACATTTTTTGAAGTCAGGATCTTATTTATTTTATACCTCTCTAGTGTAGAACACATCAAGAAATAGCAGATCCTCAATAAATGTATGTTGAATGAAGATGAAAGGTAAGAATGCAATCTCTGTCCTGATAAGGGAGAACTACTGTGGCATTTTTATAGCTTTGGTTTCAACTGACTATGGGAGATAGGGGAGTTAGGTAAAGAGAAGAATTTGTTAGCTCAGTCTTAATTTGGAATTTAAAGGAAAGAACTGGGACAGAAGTGGCAGAATTTCCTATTCAGCTCTTCTGGGAAGATCAGAAGAGTTTCATTAAACTGACAAGGCATACAGGTGTAAAGTATGTTTTGAAGAAAGCTACTTCAATTTGAATAAAATAAGATTTTGTCTAATTTTGCTTCTACCAAATGCTACTGTTTTCTCTTGAACTGTGGTACTTAGGCTATCATAGCCACCACTCTATACCACTCTTCTAGAAGTGCTCTTTTCTCTCTCTCTTTTTTTTTTTTTGAGACAGGGTTTTACTCTTTTGACCAGGCTGGAGTGCAGTGGTGTGATCATAGATCACTGTTACCTCAAACTCCTGGGCTCAAGTGTTCCTCCTGCCTCAGCTTCCCAAATAACTAGCCTTAAAGGCAGGCATCACCATCTCTGGCTAATTTTAAAATTTTTTATAGAGGCGAGGGTCTCACTGTATTGCCCAGGCTGGTCTTGAACTCCTGGCTTCAAGTGATTCTCCTGCCATAGCCTCCCAAAGTGCTGGATAAGCATGAGCCATTGTACCCACCCCATAACTGCTCTTAACCAATAACTTAATTTTTCTAAGTCTGGCAGTAACTTCTCAGTCCTCATATCACACAATCTATCAGCAGCATTTGACACTGTTGACTCTTCCTCCTTACAACATTTTGTTTACTTGATTTCTAGACACTACTCTGTAGAATTTCCCTCTACCTCCTCATTCACTCCTCCTTTGTTGGTTTTTCATCTCCTTGATCACTAAAAATGTTAGGGCTTCAGTGCTTAGTTTTTAGACTTCATCTCATCTCTTTTTCTGTCTATGCTGATTTGAATTCACCAAGTTTCGAGGCTTTATAATGCAGGTGGTAATCTGCATGCTGGTAACTCCCAAATTTATAGGTCTGTCCTAGTCCTCCAAACTCCAGTTGGATATGTCCTGTCTATTCAACCTTTCTATTTACCTAACAAGTATCTCAAAGTTACCATGTCTAAAACTGAATTTCCATTTCTCCCTTCTATATTTTCCCCTCCTCCATTTTTCCATGTCTTTGTAAATGGCAACTTTCTTTTTTTGGGGGGGTGATGGAGTTTCACTCTTGTTGCCCAGGCTGGAGTGCGGTGGCACAATCTCGGCTCACCGCAGCCTCTGCTTCCTGGGTTCAAGTGATTCTCCTGCCTTAGCCTCCTGAGTAGCTGGGATTACAGGCATATGCCACCACCATGCCCTGCTAATTTTTTGTATTTTTTAGTGGAGATGGAGTTTCACCGTCTTGGCCAGGCTGGTCTTGAACTCTTGACCTCACGATCCACCTGCCTTGGCCTCCCAAAGTGCTGGATTACAGGCGTGAGCCACCTCGCCCAGCACAATGGCAACTTTCTTACTCTGTTTTCTTAAACCAAAACCCTTCAAATCACCTGTGGCTCAATTTTTTCTCTCACATCTTACATTTAATAGTGAGTCCTTTATCTTCAGATACATGAAGATATCACTTTTTAAAAAATTTTTTTGAGATGGAGTCTTGCTCTGTTGCCCAGGTTGGAGTGCAATGGCACGATCTTGGCTCACTGCAACCTCTGCCTCCCAGGTTCAAGCCTCAGCTTCCAGAGTAGCTGGGATTATAGGTACCTGCCACCATGCCTGGCTAATTTTTCATATTTTTAGTAGAGATGGGGTTTCTCCGCGTTGACTAGGCTGGTCTTGAACTCCTGACCTCAAATGATTCACTTACCTTGGCCTCCCAGAGTGCTGGGATTACAGGTGTGACCCACTGTGCCTTGTAATTACGGTGCACTGATCACTTTCTACCTCCTCTGCAGGGCTATTTCCTATCTTTACAGTTACTACCTTTGTTCAAGCCACCATCATCTCTTGCTGGATAACTGCAATGGCTTTCTAACTGTTGAGAGTGCTTTAGCCCTTGCCCCATAGTCTATTTTGGTTTTAGAGTGAAACGAAAGCAAGTTTATTAAGAAAGTAAAGGAATAAAAAAATGGCTACTCCATAGGCAGAGCAGCCCCTTTCCCCTACAGTCTATTACTAACACAGGAAACAGGCTATTAAAGTATAAGTCAGATTAGGACATCCCTAAACAATTCTTCAATGGCTTCCCATCACTGAAAAATTGGTCTTTACAATGGCTTTTAAGAGTTCACACAGTCTGTCTTCATTCTCCCCAATAACTATAATCTTATCTTCTAATCCCATTTCCTGCTATGTACCCCTTGTTTACTTCCCTTCAGAAGACTGGCCTCTTGTTTCTGGGACATGCTAATTATACTTCTACCTTAAGATATTTGTACTTTTTGATCTTTTCACATGGAATGTTTTTCTCTTCGGTGTCAGTATTGGTTTCTTTCATTTAGTCTTGACTCAAATATTACTTTCTCATAAGCTCTTCCCTGGCCACCTTATTTTAAATTGCCTCCCTCTCAGCATTTCCTTTTCACCCTTCTCTCTTTGTTTTTTCAAAACATGTATCCCCATCTCACATATCTTATATTTTACATATTTATTGTCTATTTCCTCCATTAGCATATATGCTCAAGGAGGGGGGAATTTTTCTGTTTTGCCTACTGCTGAAGGCCCAGTGTCATAAAGTAGCTAGCTATCAATAAGTATCTATTCAATACATAAATGAAGTAGTTTTTTTTTTTTAACTTTTATTTTAGGTTCAGGGATACATGTGAAGGTTTGTTAGATATGTAAACGTGTGTCATGGGGGTTTGAGGTACAGATTATTTCATCATCCAGGTATTAAGCCCGGTACCCAGTAGTTATTTTTTCTGCTCCTCTCTCTCCTCCCATCCTCCACCCTCAAGTAGACCCTAGTGTCTGTTGTTCCCTTCTTTGTGTTTGTCAGTTTTCATCATTTAGCTCCCACTTTTAAGTGAGAACATGCAGTATTTGGTTTTCTGTTCTTGTGTTAGTTTGCTAAGGATAATGGCCTCCAGCACCACAAAAGACATGATCTCATTCTTTTTTTATGGCCTCATAGTATTCCATGGTGTATATGTACCACATTTTCTTTATCGAATATGCCAAATGGGCATTTAGGTTGATTCTCTTTCCTATTGTGAATAGTGTTTTAATGAACATTTGTGTGCATGTGTCTTTATGGTAGAATGATTTATATTTTCCTGGGTATATACCCAGTGATGATTACTCGGTCAAATGGTAGTTTTGTTTTTAGCTCTTTGGGGAATTGCCATACTGCTTTCTACAATGGTTAAACTAATTTACTCTCCCGCCAGTGATAGATGAGCGTTCCTTTTCTCTACAACCTCGCCAGCATCTGTTATCTTTTGACTTTTTGATAATAACCATTCTGACTGGTGTGAGATTGCATCTCATTGTGGTTTTGATTAGCATTTTTCTAATGATAAGTGATATTGAGCTTTTTTTTAATATGCTCATTGGCTACATGTATGTCTTTTGAAAACATACATGTCCTTTGCCCACTTTTTAATGGGGTTGTTCTCTTGTAAATTTGTTTAAATTCTTTATAGATGCTGGATATTAGGCCTTTGTCAGATGCATAGTTTGCAAATATTTTCTCACATTCAATAGGTTATCTGTTTACTATTTTGATAGTTTCTTTTGCTGCGCAGAAGTCCTTAAGTTTAATTAGATCCTGTTTGTCAATTTTTGCTTTTGTCGTGATTGTTTTTGGTATCTTTGTCATGAAATCTTTGCCTGTTCCTGTGCCCAGGATGGTATTGCCTAGGTTGTCTTCTAGGGTTTTTATAATTTTGAGTTTTACATTTAAGTATTTAATCCATCTCAAGTTGATTTTTGTACGTGGTATAAGGAAGTGGTCCAGCTTCTGTCTTCTGTGTATGGCTAGCCAGTTATCTCAGTGGTATTTTTAACTTACTAAGACTTTGCTAGTGATGCTGGAGATGAGATGGCTGTCCATTGCTGGGTGGAGGATAAATTTGGGTAAAAATATTTCTGAAAATCACTTCTATAAAATTTAATACATATTCATTATGTTTTTCTCAGTTTACAATTCTGATGTAATTGACAAACAGAGTGCTTCCATGACCTCTGATAATGCAGATGACAAAGCTGTTATTATTCTAGTTCCTGTTAGACTTGGTGGAGAAAGAACCAACACCGACTACTTAGAGTTTGTGAAGGTATGAAATAAGTGCTGAATTTTTTTAAGGCAATACTAGCTAATGTGAAAAATACAGAAGTTTTGCAGTCTTTTTTCTATTAAATGAGTAGTAATGATTTTACAGTTGTACATTGTAAAATTTGACATTAGAGATTTTAAATTTCAGTGTTATAAGACCAATGTGAGTTGAAGAGCACAGTGTTCTATAACAAAATGAAAAGCCTTTTAATTTTTGTAGCTAATCAGGGAGACACAGATACAGCAATAATCATAACCTGTAATATAGTTACAGTTTCATTATTCTTATTTGTAATTTTAAGTATATATCTTTATTCATAAAACTAGCATTAAACTATATCACATTAATTACTGAAAAAACTATTACTGCTATGTTATCTTATGTTTGCTGTGACACCATGATGTCAATAAAAGATGAGATTATTTATGTAGGTAGAAATAATGAAGATATGAAGATAGTATTTGGAGGGGTTCCAACTTTGTTTTTTTCATCTTAGCCAGTTGGAAATCTGTTCTTTTTTGGGACACATTGTTTGGTTTCTTGTACCAAGAAAACCTGTGTAACTATGTTATCTTGTTTTGGGTACCAAGACACTTACTTAGGATAAAATACCTTTGAAATAGTTTCTATGATTAAGGTGGAAGTTTTTAGATTATTTTCATAGTTTCAGTAAAATTCTTCACTTTTTTTTTTTGAGACAGAGTTTCGCTCTTAATGTCCAGGCTGGAGCACAATGGTGCAATCTCAGCTCACCACAACCTCCATCTCCTGGGTTCAAGCAATTCTCCTGCCTCAGCCATCCGAGTAGCTGGGATTACAGGCATGCACTACCACACCTGGCTAATTTTTTGTATTTTTAGTTGAGACTGGGTTTCACCATGTTGATCAGGCTGGTCTCAAACTTCTGACCTCATGATCCGCCCATGTCAGCCTCCCAAAGTGCTGGGATTACAGGTGTGAACCACTGTGCCTGGCAAAATTCTTCACTTTTTAGTAGTCTGTTTTTGCAGCCATAGTTAGAATTCTTCTTCTTCTTTTTTTTTTTTCGAGATGGGGAGTCTGGCTTTGTCACCAGGGTGCAGTGCAGTGGTGCGATTGTGATCTCAGCTCACTGCAACCTCTGCCTTCCGAGTTTAAGTGATTCTCCTGCCTCAGTCTCCCAAGCAGCTGGACTACAGGCATGTACCACCATGCCCAGCTATTTTTTTTTTTTTGGTGTGTGTATATATATATATATATATATATATATATATTTATAAATATGTAAATTTTTTATTTTGAAATCTCCAAAAACCAGAATAATTTTTGTATTTTTATTAGAGACAGGGTTTCACCATGTTAGCCAGGATGGTCTTGATCTCTTGACCTTGTGATCTGCCCACCTCAGCCTCCCAAAGTGCTGGGATTACAGGCGTGAGCCACGGCGCTTGTCCGGAATTCTTTAAATGGAGTGTATAGCATATAGTAATGTTGAAATAAAGTCTGGATCTGTCTTTTGTGATTAATAACAATTTGTTCCCTCTATGAGGCATTAATCTCATATTATGGTCTCTATATATTTAGTCAGAACATCTTTCTCAGGCTAGATTATGCTAATTCTAAAAATCTAGGGCAATTGTTTTAAACATATGATACGTGGAAGTTTTTTAGCTGGTATACTGGCTTTTCTTAATAGTTATCTAAGATTTTGGAAGCACATTTGTTACTAATAGTAACAGTACTGTAATATAGCAATGACATCTTAATCTTACAAATAAAGGTAAGGTTTTGATGTCCGATATGTATCTTGAGTAGTTATTGGTGGAATGTGAGAAGCTGTAAGCCACTTCATCTAGTGAATCTGTTGAGGGTTTTGAGACTTCTGATATGTTGTCATCTCCAGGTGGGTTCTAATCAAATCTGAACTGTCTTATTTTTGCCTTCTCTACTACCATTTGAAGGTTAGAAACCGATCCAGTCTTGAAACCGATTGCTTTAGCCAAAGCTTCATTCCTGGTGGAATGGGCTACAGATGGCTTCTAGGCATGTTTCACCTGGCTGAGGACTTTGCTATTTGGTGATATTGATAGTATTTATCTGATGTTAGCACTGCCTAATGCTCTTGAGTGATTCATGGTTAACAGCTTAACTGTGATTTGTAGTGACATGTGGCATCCTGTATGAGGAGAAGGAAATTTGGTGTGTTTTATTAGCCCTTACCACAGGAGGTTTATTTATTTATATTAGTTTTTTTTAAGGGCATAGAATGAGGAAAATCCAGTATGTTCTTTTTCTTCAGCAAGACAAGTTGGGACTTTTCTTTTTGTAGTGAAACAAACTATGGTAAAGTTGTTAAAGTGAATGAAGCCTCAGTGCCTAACATATAGGAGTTACTCAGTATATATTTTTTAACCATAATTTGTGCAATATGTTTTGATATAAACTGATCTCATTTTGCCCTCACAGTAGCTAGGAACTGGATTGTCTTTATGAAACAGAAAAGACATAGAGAAGTTAAGTGTTATATTCAAGTTCAGATAGCAAACTGATAGCAGAGACTAGACTGCAAGTTTATTGTTTTTCATACTTTTCTCTAAAACATGAATGTTTTGAAAGGTAATATTTCCTTGAGCTTCTACTAACTTGATTTACACCATAGTCCACTGAAGTGCAAGATCAGTGACTATTGAAACATTTTGATTTTCCAGTGATCAGATAAAAATGGCTGAAATGGTTAAGTGGAGGAGGTTATATGATAGGTTGTTTGGCCAGAGGGGATGGTTAAGTCAAACCCCAAATCAGAGCATGGAAAGAGGTATTCACTTAGAAGTGTAAAAGTAGGCCGGGCGCGGTGGCTCACGCCTGTAGTCCCAGCACTTTGGGAGGCCGAGGCGGGTGGATCACGAGGTCAAGAGATCAAGACCATCCTGGTCAACATGGTGAAACCCTGTCTCTACTGAGAATACAAAAAATTGGCTGGGCATGGTGGTACGTGCCTGTAATCCCAGCTACTCAGGAGGCTGAGTGAGGCAGGAGAATTGCCTGAACCCAGGAGACGGAGGTTGCGGTGAGCCGAGATCGTGCCATTGCACTCCAGTCTGGGTAACAAGAGCGAAACTCTGTCTCCAAAAAAAAAAGAAGTGTAAAAGTGATGTGTTCATTAGCCCTGAAAGAAAAATCATTTTTTCTTTTTTTTGTGTATGGTCAGCCGTTGTATTTTTTCCTGTCAAACCAATGTACATTGGTGAGTCTAAAATTTGCTATTCAGTTCTAGTTTTCAAATTTATTAAACAAGGTAATGCCACAGTATTTCAGAGATAGTGCCAACACAGCATCCTGCTACATTGTATGAGAAGAAGGAAATTTGGTGTGTGCTTTATTAGTCCTTACCACAAGAGGTTTGTTTATTTATTTATGTTTATAGTTTTAAGGGCCTGGAATGAGGAAAGTCCAATATGTTCTTTTTCTTCAGTGAGACAAATTAGGACTTTTCTTTTTGACTGATTACTTCAGTCTTATTTGTTGCTTCATGGATACAGCTCAATAAATTTTCACCACGAGATAACTGTGAAGAAGCTCTTTTAGGAACTGAAAAGTGTTTCAGTCCAAAGATACAGCCTCTTATATGTAATGGCATTCTAGCTCCTAATCCGCTTCTAAGCGTTTATTGCTAAACCTGCTCTAATGCGTTGCAAGGGAAATACAGATGTCAAGAACCAAAGTCTTTCTTCCATTACTTAGAGCCATTCTTTTTCTGAGGAGAGTCAGTGACAATCCTTGCTATATATTTTTTTCTTTCTTTTCTTAGCTGTAAGAGACATAGAACTTTCACTGCCTCACAGGTCTCTATGATACAAACATTGTATTTCAACTGATCAGATTGCCTCAAGTTAAAGTAAGGCACTCTCTAATTTTTATTAAGGATTTTTATTTAGGGGGAAATCAGTAGAATTCTTAATTGATAAGTAACTCTATAACTATTTAGTGAGTTTTTTGGTACAGTTTTAGCTTAATTTATTTTTTAATTATCTCTAAGATTTTAACCTGATATATATACCTTCTCTGTTTTGTTTAATTTTTTCAGTTGCAGCTCTCTGTTTCAGAAAAACCTTTATGATATTTTTACAAGATTGAAAATGTACAAGGTTGTTCTTTAGAGGGTGTCTGAGTCTTTTTTTTTTTTTTTTGCTGCTATAACAGAATACTGGAGACTGAGTAATTTATAGAGAACAGAAATTTATTCTCTCACAGTTCTGGAGGATGGGAAATCTAAGATCAAAGCACTGGCATCTGATGAGGGTCTCCTTATGTGTTCTCACATGGTGGAAGGCAGAAGGGCCAAAATGGGGTGAACTCTGTCCTCATGTTGCAGAGGAGCAGAAGAGAGAACCTGCTCCTGCAAGTCGTTTTTATAGCAACCTTGAACTCATTCATGCAGGCTCTGCCCTCCTGACCTAAACACCTCCCCCAAGGCTCTAGCTCTTAACACTCTGCATTGGGGATTAAGTTCCCACACATGTATTTTGAAGGGAATAAAAATGTTCAAACCATAGCAGAGGGTTACTTACAACAGTGAGAACTTGACCTACTTAAATATTTATTGTGGAGGTTTTAAAGCGCATTTTGTTGTTTTCATAAAACAGTATTTTTCAGCGACTACATATTGTTAATATAATATAGATCTCTATTGATAGAAAAAGATATTCATGACATAATGAGCAACAAAAGGTTACAATGGCATATGTTGTGTGATTTCACATATGTAACATTGTATTTGTAAATCTGTATGTGTATATATGTAATATAGACAGATGTCAAGAAGGTATTTCCCCAAATATTAATGATGATGAGCTCTGGGTGTTGGAATTTGGGAACTGTTTTACTTTTTTTCTAAATTTTCTGTATGCGTGTGTGTTCTCTATTGTTTTGGTTACTTGTTAAAGGAAAAAGAATATTTATCCATATATTCTTTGTTTGTATATCTTTTAGATTTCAAAACATCCTCTCATTTAAGAGAAGGAAAGCTTAACTATTGTTTAATAGTTTTGGGATTTTATAACCTATACTTTATCATTATTAGTGTTTTATATGATTTATCAGAATTATCGCAGGAACTATTGATAAGACATTAATTGATTACTGGACATTTTTAACTTACTCAATTGGATGTTTTTTTTTTCAGTGATTGTTGGCTCTGAGTACGGAGTTTTTAAAAAGATATAGAGTTAATTTGGCCCAACTTAAATAGAGTTCTGCTTAAAATAGATTGCTGAGGGGTGTATTAAAAAATTTATTGTGATGTCCTTGATATTTTTGTGGTTAGTAAAATAAATTGGCCTTAAATACAATAATAATAATAATTTTCATTGGATTAAGTTACTTTCATTACTCTTTATATTTATTTCAAATGAAGTAGCATAAAAAATTTGAGTGAATGCCATTGATTAGAAAACGGCTTTCAGTTTGCGATTCTGACTCAAGGTCCAGTGAAAACAGCAATAGTTCTTAGCAAGGTCTAAGAACTATTTTTAGCATTTCAAAAAGCCTGATGAAAATTTTACATTGATCACAGTGAGGCTGCACCAGCTAACTAGAAGGCTAAGCGTATTGGCTTTGGCAGGAGTTTTATTGCCTTTAGGTGGCACAATTGATTATGTCTCTATGTAGTAGTTTTTTAATGTTGTTGAGCAACATGCTGATCAAAATATTTGATTTGTTACGTTAATGTTGAATGATTTAAAGAAAAGGAAGGCAGTTTGTAAGACAAGTGGATTTCAGAACCTGGGTGCAAATCTAATGTAAATGATAACTGGTAATGGTAAATATGGGAACTATTAATATTAGTAATTTGTTTGCTTTGAATAATTATCATTTATCTCTTGACTAAATCTGTATTAATTTTTTTTGGCAGGGTATTTTAAGCCTGGAATATTGCGTGGGTATTATTGGTGGCAAACCTAAACAGTCATATTACTTTGCTGGATTTCAAGGTTAGTGATTTAGTAAAATATATTTTTTCATTGTTTTCTTTTGAAAGTCAGAAAGTTAATATGAGATTATCTAGAAACGGGATGATTAACAGAGCAAAGCGAGTACCTTATACCTTCATCAGTCCTGCTGTAGCCACTCATTTGTCATTTAGTCCACGACATAATTAGATTCTGTAAAATGTATGTTTAATTTCTGTTATTGCATAAACAAGGCATAATTTATTGGTTGCACTGAACTTCAGAAGACATTGCTGCCACATTCTGGCAGTTGCTATTTACATATTTACTTTTTACCAGTTTTAGTGGTGCAAGTTGATGATAAAATGACAAGCAATATGTTCTTCCTGTCAAGATAAAGAAGTGCAATACATTTTTCATATGCAAACTGTAGAATATAATTGTGTGTTTGTGAAAGTAATTTTATCACCAAAAATTAAATGACAGTCTCATCACTTTATAAAAATTATGCTTATACAAGCATATTTGATTATGCAAAAGTTAATCTATCCTGTGCAAACCTATGTTTCAGTCAATGAGTATCAGTCTGGCAAGCTGCTACTCCCAGATTTTTTTCAGCTGTTCTACATAGAAATTGGATTGTAAGCAGTGTAATAATAAGGTGTTTTTTGAATTACTTGTCTTCTGTTTTGTCCTTGTAGATGACAGTTTGATTTACATGGATCCTCATTACTGCCAATCTTTTGTAGATGTCAGCATAAAGGATTTCCCTCTTGAGGTACTATGGATAAAGAGCTGGTACTGTTTTCTTACCTTATGAAGTAAACTAATTACTTAGAGATATGCTAGGTAGCTATGCTTTTATAGTATTATAATTACAGGCTATAATTAATATTTTACTGATTTATAGAACCATAATTAACACAATGGTCAAAGGTTAAGTACTTTGTTGCTGAATTTTAATTTATGATATACTTTCTTCTTCATTTATCTTTGTGTCTAACTTGTTAGAAACCCTGGCCATACTAAAATAAATGATCATGTCTCCAAGTCATTTTGTATAAAGACAGCTAAACAGTACTGAAGAATTTAAAATGTTAGGCCTGTTTAAAAAAATAAAAGGAAAAATAGAAGGGGATAGATGGGTTAGAGTAACAAAGCGACTTAATGAGATTGTCTGCTAAATTATTTTGCTTTGGGTACAGTAATTAAATCTTAGCCTTTAGCTAAGAAGTTTTCAAGAGGTTAGTTGGGTTTCTAATTTTTTTTTCGGTTTTCATTTTTTAATATCTTCTTTACCTTTATATAGGTCATTTGTGAGTCAGTATTTTAATTCAGAAAAATTTGAGAGTACATAAATGAAACATGTAGTTATTCCATGATTTTGTTTTCCCAGTTGATGCTTTTACAGACTAATTTTACAGAATAAAATAATTTAAATCACTTGAGTGTCATGAGTCACTAATTTTCAAGGGCTTGATGAGTTGGAAATGTAGTTGAATACTTTGTTTTAGTAATTGCTTGCTAGCTAATACTGACACCTAATAGTATTTAAGAGGTAGAATATGAAAATAGAGAAATCACAAGGTTAAAATCTGGTTTGGAAAGATACATTATAAAACATTTTGGCATCCTTTGTGAACTAATACCTCAATTAAAGTATAATTATTTGGAGGCCAGAGTTCAGGTCTACTTTCTTCTTTCATAGTATCTTGTGCCTTAATAAATATTTGCTAGGTGACTGATTGATACTGGGGAAGGCACTACAGAATAATTGTGCCATGTGAATCAAATTGTAATTCTCTTTCTGTCCTCTGGTCTTGTAGCACTGATTCTTGTGTCCAAGTGCCAAATGGACTGCTCATAAACAGTAGGTACTTGAGATTTAGACGGATAATTGTTCTCAGTAATTTCGTATTACCTAAATAAGCGAATTAAAAGATTATTGGTCTGATTATTTTGGCCAGTATAAATTATCCATCTGATATTTTGAGAGACTGCAAAGATATCAAGTGAATGAATATCTTGGTTATGTGTATACAATCAAAATTAGAAACGAGGCTTCAGCTCATTATTGGGAGACTGTTGCAACACTCCAGGAGGGAGTTATTAATAGTAAAGGTTTGAAGTAGGCTGGTGATAGTAAAAATGGAAAGGAACAATTGATTTTAAGATTTCACTATGTAAGGTAAAATTTGTTAGAATTGACTTCTTAAATGCACAGAAACATTTCTGATATATTGGAACACTTAGGAATGATTTATCGATGTTATATTTTTGAGATCATGGTAGAATATCTTAATCTGTGTGGATAATTTCTGTTAGAATTTTTTGTTTTTTGGCAATGAAGAGATTTATTTTAGTAGCAGCATTTGTTTTCCTATGAAAGTGTAATATAAAAATTACATAAAGTTGTACAGGAATAAAATTTTATTTCTTGTTTTTATCATCTCTTAAGTTTGTAATACTCCAATTGAAGGTGTTTTAAGTACCCTGTGTTACTAACCATGCTCACTTTGCCATACTGCTTGTATGTTTACATGCTAGTGAAATTTTGTAGTTGATTAATGTAAAAATTGTATGCATATTCTAAAACCACCCTATACTTCAATTATTAAAATCACTTTTGTAGGAAACTTTTTGGATCAGTACTTTTTTTGGTTAATAGATGGAGAAATTGAAATCTTAAATCATTGGTTGATTCCACATAAATAATTGCTGGTAGTCCTCTGAGAGTGCCCTAAATCTGATAGACTGAAATTTTAAGGAAGTAGGATGATACCAGAATATTTGAGATTGAAGAAGAGATTTAAACAGATTGCATCTTTTGTTGTTCTTATGGTGTTGAATTCCTACATTTCTAGAATAGAACTGTTAATGTTTTGAAACCAAATTAGACTGATTTCTTTGTTTTTTAATGAGCTCTAGATGAGTGCAAGGGACTGTCCTAAGCTCTTTGGAGCCCTCTGTTGAAATCTTTTCTTCTCTGTGGTTCCAAGTGTTTTGATTGTATATGTTTGTATTAATGTTTAATTCTTGTGACGTTTTCTTCTGAAATAAATTGATATATATTATTGAATTTCTGTACTAACTTTTAAGAGACTTCCTCATTTTAAGCTATCTTCACTGAGTTTTTAACACATTGTGAAGTGAACATAGGCAGTTATATTTGGATCCTGAGTCTAGTAGTGAAGTTATGCCAGGTTACGACTGAGGAATGGAGCACACGGTTCACTGTGAAGGCAAATTATAATGAATAAACTCACACTGTAATTTTCAAACAGAAAATGGGGTTCAAAGGAGCAGCATGAACAACCTTAAACAAAAGTCATCAAAGAACAACTTGAAATTAGAAGGGAATGAGAAGAGAGCTCAGTTGGGCTTTGGCAGTGAGGGTATGTAAGAAAAGCTTTATTAATAAACACGTTAGCTTGTTCTGATTACTGGGTCCCCAATTTCAAGTGTCAGATTTTGGGAGGTTCTTACAGTGATAACTGTTTTAATCTATCATGGGAAACTCAGAAGTAGTGGCAGTAAAGCTATTAGAATTATGTGATTTGGGCATCTAGATAGATTGGATGAGTGAATTCATCAGTGAAAGATAATACCCTTTACAACTTATACATGTGAACTGCAATTAGTAGGAGGTTTTTTGTGTTTTTTTTTTTTTTGGGTGGAGGATAGAGTCTTGCTTTGTTACCACTCAGATTGGAGTGTAGTGTGCAATCACAGCTCATGTAGTCTTGACCTCCTGGGCTTCAGCAATCTCCCCACCTTAGCCACTCAAGTAGTTGGGACCACAGGTGTGTGCCACCATACCTGGTTATTTAGCAGTAGGTACTTTTTAGTAAAGATATTCGCTACTTAACTGTCTTAGGAAGCTTCATCTAAATCACCAAAATAGCATAGCTGTACCTACAAGCATATGTTTCAGTATTGTTTTTGTATGTTTAGAAAGTTAGACTTCACTATTCTAAAGAGTAAGCCTAGAATAGTGCCTGTCATTGTGTAGGTGCCTAATAACTATTAAGGCAATTAGTTAATAAAGTATCAAAAATGAAATGAATGGGAATTGATTTTCCCTGGCCAGTTTTTCCAGAAACAGTTACAGAAGTGTATCTAGTGAATACTCCTTAAAATGCGTTTGTCAAGTAGAAGCTACTCCTCTTACCAATCATTAGAATTTAAAAAAAATAAAAAAACTTAAGTGCATAAGCTGAATTAGGAAAATATTTGAAAGGTAACTTGTTCTGCAATAGACAATAATTGTGAATTGTAAGTTAATTTGCCTTAGAATCTTCTTGAGTGAACAAAATAATATAACTTTAAATGGCTGGGTGCAGGGGCTCACACCTGTAATCCCACCACTTTGGGAGGCCGCGGCGGGTGGATCTCCTGAAGTCAGGAGTTAGAGATAAGCCTGATCAACATGGTGAAACCTTGTCTCTATTAAAAATACACAAAAATTAGCAGGGCATGGTGGTTTGCACTTGTAACTCCAGCTACTCGAGAGGCTGAGGCAAGAGAATTGCTTGAACCTGGGAGGCAGAAGTTGCAGTGAGCAGAGATCGTGCCATTACACTACAGCCTGGGCGACAAGACTGAAACTCCATCTCAAAAAAAAAAAAAAGTTTAAATGATATAAAAATGCCTCTCTATTGTATGAATCCTAGTACTCATGCAACAATACCCAATAGCAGTTTCAGTGATTAGAGAGTTATATCTGTGTTTTTGTGAATATTTTAAAAGTTCTTTGTAGATACTGAAACAACCATGAATAGCAATTAGTGTTTGTTCTTATCTATGATGATTGAGTCAATACAGAGAGTTAGTAATAAGACTATTCTGGTTTAGTATTATTGGTTCCTACATGAAAAGCTTTTTAAAATTAAAAAATTTTTATTTTCTAGAGACGGAGTTTTGTTCTGTCACCCAGGCTGGAGTGCAGTGGCACCATCAGAGCTCACTGGCTCCTCAAACTCCTGGGCTTAAGCAATTCTCCCACCTAAGCCTCCTAAGTAGCTGGGACTATAGGTGAATGCTGCCACACCTGGCTATTTAAAAACTTTTTTTTAGAGATGGGGTCTTGCCATGCTACACAAGCTGGTCTCAAACCTCTGTCCTCAGGCAATTCTCCTGCCTCAACCTCCTCACTTCCTGGGCACAGGCATGAGTCTGGCTCAAGTTCTTACAAGAAAACTTTTATCAGTCCTTCAGTATAATATAGGATACCCTATTAAATGAGTTCAAAAATATATTATTAGACCACCTACAAACTTTCTGGCCCTCCTTCTTATCTCCAGGTAATAAAAAGTTAAACATTCGTTGGTATTATCTTTGGAATGAGCTGGGCAAATGGTTATTTGTAGACACAAAGTATGTAGAATAAGTTATAAATATGACCTAGAACTATGCCGTATACACTAATATACTCATACTCTTGTAAATTGTTAACAAGTTTGTTTAGCTTTTCTATGCTTTTCCAGATCTGTTTTAAATATTTCTTTGCAAACATAACAGGTGGAACAATGTTAGGAAAAGTCCAACTAAGATTATATTTGTGTTGACTAGTGCCGTGGAGGTTCTAGTTTAGCTAAGTCGAATCTCACTATATAAAGTAAGTTAGCCAAGCATTTTGCAGAAGTCATAGTTTTGTAAACTCATCTTTTGGCCTATATTAACTTGACATATTGTTGGATTTGAATCTAATATGCAGTTGAGCTTTTCATTGGGGGAAAAAAAGCAGCTTGAATCTGTACATTTTGCCTGCCTTTTGGTGATGATACGGGATACAAATTGATACAGATCACTAGTATGTACAGGGAGAGAAAAGAGTGATTTTAATTGATCTCACCATGAACATAACAAACATGACAACTTATTTTTTCCACATTTTAATAGATAGTATCAAGTTAAATTGAATGTAGGGAAACTATAAATTTATGAGTTCAAATCCAGCCTACATTCTTGCTTTTTTTTTTTTTAATGGAGTTGGAGCCTTGCTCTTGTCCAGGCTGGAGTGCAGTGGCATGATCATATCTTACTTCAGCTTCACGTCTGTGCTCAAGCAATCCGCCTGCCTCAGCCTCCTGAATATCTGGGATTACAGATGGGAGCCACAGCACGCACTTCCTAGATTATTTCTTAATTGAGCTTGTTCTTTAATTCAAAAATTTTTCACACCTGTCTCCCATTTGCTCAGTTCTCTCCCTTTCCCACAAACTGGCTAATTTTTGTATATCCTTAGTTTATTTATACAAATATGAATATGTAGTCTTATGTTCTTTTTAACACAAACTTTGTTTTCTACATACAGCAAAAGACCTGGTCACATCAGTGATTTTTAAGGACAGGCTAAGCATTTAAGCATTAAAAAAATATTTTAAACGGAGAACTAAAGTGTGATTGTGAAGAATAAAAATATTGCAATGATTACTTTTATCTTATGCCCTTTTTCTACTTTTGTATTCCCTAAAGATGCCAAACTGTACTAACAGCCAAATCCATTAGCAAGACAGTAGAGAAACTAGGGCAGCCTACCCAGCCCATTTATATCTGTGGCACTGTGACTATTGGAGAAACGTGAACTAAAGAGACAAAAGGACTGATGAGAAGGAGGGCAGGGACCATAATGGAATGGGTTTCACCTGTTCCAGCCTGTTCCCTGAGAATAAATGAGAATTAAAGCGCACTAGAAGAGAAAGTTGAAGAATATGCAGTTATGTACTAATGGTGTGAATTGCTACAACCCTCAAGTTGACCTCTTTTTATGTCAGTATAGAACATTGACCTGAATCTGTGTATTTGTATAACAAGTCTTGATATCTTTGTTAAAAGGTTTATAAACATTAGCCCTAAATCTCCAACAAAACAGACTTAACTGCAGTTTAATAGAAATGGTTAACTTGAATCTAAGCCTTGTGCATGCCTTTTTCATGTTTTCGGGTGTTAGAAATGCATACCACTTTTGACACACTTCCTTTCTTTTGCAGAGTGGCACAAATGTCACATAAGGTTGAGATTTGGTGAATATATACAAATGTTGGCTCTTGTATTTTACAGCTTTGCAGAATGAGGAGGACCATCTGTATAGGATGAAATAAAGCACCCTTTGGAAATCACGTTTATAGTTACGGAAAAAAGCTAGATAAAATTTTTAAATAATAGTTTTATATATGCTTGTCTATCAAATAAAGATAAATTAATCCTAAAGAACTTTTAAAATTACAGACATTCCACTGCCCTTCTCCCAAAAAGATGTCATTTCGAAAAATGGATCCTAGCTGTACAATAGGATTTTACTGTCGAAACGTTCAGGACTTCAAACGAGCTTCTGAAGAAATCACCAAGGTACCTTTATTTAAAATATTATAATAATATTTGTAAATGACCTAATTTTGTAAGAGACAGCCTATCATAAGGCAAAAACCTGTAAATTATGATATTTTTGTAAAATTTCCTCTTGAATGTTATTAGAAGTATTGTAAACTGAAAAACAAACCTATTTGAGGAATCTCAGCGTTTGAGCCAAGTGAAATCAACTAGTGACCAGTTGAAAGTATTGATTGGTCCACTAGGTGGCACTGTTGAAATAAAAATCCTTTTGCAAACTGTAGACCGGTGCAAGCAATTAGGTTATATTTTATTTGAAGAAGATTTTAAAAGGGCAATCCCTTAGGGGTAGAAAAAAATTAATGAAGTATTTGATGAAGCCAAATTGTGCATTATTTCTTGTTAGTCCAAGTGCTTCTTTGATTTTTTTAAAAAGAGAAATGGTATTTTTGGATTTCTCAGAGCTGCTTTATCAAATGAGCTGTGTTGTTACCTTCCAATAAGCTTGTCTAATCTGATCTATTCTACTTATAGGATTGTTGAAAGAGGTTTATTTAACTTCTCATTATGCTTAAAATTCTACCTTTTTTTGGTCCTTGAGTACTGCTAAAACATTTATGGAACCTTAATATCTGTCTATATTTAGTACTTCAGAAAATAAAAAAAGACTACTTTTTAAAGAAGGAAGCATAGTTGGGTAGTTTTCTTTATTAGTATCAATAGTTAGGCTATCATTTTATGGTAAGTAAGACCAATAGTAGTCATTTTTGGGAATTCTTTTTTTGTTGAGATGGAGTATCATTCTTGTCGCCCAGGCTGGAGTGCAGTGGCATGATCTCCACTCACCAACCTTCGCCTCCTGGGTTCAAGTGATTCTTCTGCCTCAGCCCCCCGAGTAGCTGGGGTTACAGGCATGTGCCACCATGCCAGGCTAATTTTTGTATTTTTAAAAGAAACACGGTTTCTCTGTGTTGGTCAAGCTGGCCTCAAACTACTGACCTCAGAATTCTTAACAGGAGCTCATATATAATAGTAATTTATTACTGCTTTATTTCCAGTTACTTTTATTTAGGAAAATGGACATAGTAAGTTGAAATTTTATTTTTACAATGTAAAAATGGAATGATAAAGTTAAATAAATGTTTCATATAAGCTAGGGTTAGTTTACTTGAACTGCCATATGAAAGAGGAAATTTAACAGGAATATGACAGAAAAATGAAGGAGAAAAGGAGCAAATGGGATATGTGGAAACAATTCCATATTCTTCACTTCTCACAGTGGTTCTCTTTCATTCTCCTTTTTCAACATGGAAGGCCAGGTGGGCATAATAAAATACGTATTTTTCATTTTTCCTCCTATTAGTGCAAATTAGTATATGCATTTGTATGTTTTAGTTTGACAGTTTTTTGTCTTTATAAAGTATCATGTATATGCTAAAGTATACAAATACAGATAATACTGTGATATTTATTGATGTTGATGAACATTTTGCATTAAAAAGTCCCACTTTTCTGTTTCTATTCATTTATTTTCTATCTGGATTAAAATGAATATGTTTAAAACAGTAAATCAGTTTACTCCTGGAATAGAAGCAAACCAAATTATTATTATCAAATAAAACAAAACCCGAAATTCACAAATGAGTTATATGTTGATATTTTCTAATTAAAGACAGTTATTATGGCTTTTACATTGGAAAAATACCTAGAAATTATTACTCTTGAGCATCAGAATTATATGCATTAAGGCAGAGAGAAATTATATTGAAATGTCTTTTGGAAGTACTGAGAATTTTGTAAGAATAAATTAACTTTGCTTTAATAATAGTGTTCTTCTGAAGTCAATAGGTTTTTGTAGCAGTATCAAAAACTCACCATGTCAGTTAATAACACTGTCAGTTTCTTATGCCTGGAAGGTTATAAGTTAAGCACTTGCCTTTTTTCCTTAAAAACTGAATTTGGCAATTTTAGTTCAACCATTTTTTTAACCTTCAAAAATTAAAATAACAAAATCATTTGTTTCTATATATCTTTTCAGTTTTCTCATTTTGAAAATGAAGCTGGTAGTCTAGAGTCTTATGTTTAATCCATAATACCCTGTGAATGAATAACTCATGCTATATGATTTTAAAATATTAATAAAAATTGTTAAACCAATTCAGTGTTTAGCAGAGTTTAGGCTAGCAAGTATCTGCATAGCTATCATATACAGAGCATAAAATGACCAACATATAGTCTCTGCTTTTGAACAAAGTATAAAGCTTCCAATCTCAAGTAATATTTATGCTTCAGGAGGGGGAATAAGACATGTAGACATATATTACACATTGAATATGATAAGCGTCCATATGGAAATAGAAATAAATTGATAGGGGAAAGAAGAGGATTGAAATGAGAGAGATGTCATATCCAAGTCCAAGTACTTTCTTGTGATGGTCATTTTTAAGAAGGGCTTTAAAGTAAAGGCTTAATTTCCACTGGCTTAGGGAAAGAGAGGGTTACTTCAGGCTGAGGAAATATCGAAAGGAAAAGTATAGAAGGAAAGTGGAGAGTTTGTCTAGAGAATGGCAAGTAGTCCAACTTGGTAGGCGCCAAGGCTTCAGGCTGGATTTCTGCTTCTGACTGCCTGAATCAGAATCCTTAGAGGTGTGGCCTGGGAGTCTCCATGCCTAACAAGCCTCCCACACAGTCTTGTGTTCCAAATTTGAGAACCACTAGCATAAGACAGGACAACCCAAAATGTGACACTTGATGTTTTTAGGTGGCACTAGGACAGACATTTTAATACTTACATTAACTGGCATATTAAATGTGTGATTTATTGATTTGTACAAGGCTATTTAAGTTAAAAATGATGAAAAATCTTCATTAGTCATGATAGAGACGGCTATATAACAAAAATGGTGAAAGAGGTAGATAGTCTCTAAGTTTTGGGAAACTGCTATAGGAAACACTGAAGGAAAAGGCTAGAAAAGTAGATTAGAATAATACTATGGAGAGTCTTGAATTAAGGCTGAAGAAATAGTACGTTAGTAATATGTTGATTTTGTTAGTTTTAAAATTTCAGACATACAGAAATATAGAGAATAATGTAGTAAATACCCATGTGTTACCACTGAGCTTAAGAAAATTAGGTATATAATTAGAAAGATAACACACACCAATGTGTTATCTTTCACCAATCTTACTCCTTTTCTTCCTTCCCAATGGCAATCACCATCCTGAATTAGTGTGTCATATCCATATTTTATATATCCATAAACAACACATATTGTTTTACATTTGTTAAATTTTTTGTTAACGATGTTTTTATATAAAGATATATATATTCATCTGCAACATTTTTATTTAAAAGTGACTTAGAGGCCAGGCGCATTGGCTCACACCTGTAATCCCAGCATTTTGGGAGGCCGAGGCAGACGGATCATGAAGTCAGGAGATTGAGACCATCCTGGCCATGATGAAACCCCGTCTCTACTGAAATACAAAAAATTAGCTGGGTGTGGTAGTGTGTGCCTGAAGTCCCAGCTACTCAGGAAGCTGAGGCAGGGGAATCGCTTGAATCCGGGAGCCAGAGGTTGCAGTGAGCCAAGATCGTTCCACTGCACTTCAGCCTGGTGAAAGAGCAAGACTCTGTCTCAAAAAAGAAAGAAAAGTGACTTAGAGATTATCTATGGAACCATGCATGTTGCTCTAGCTTATTCATTTGAACAGCTGAATAGTAGTCCATTCTATAATATATTCTTTTTATTTAAACTTTCTTTCTTTGGTTGTTGGTTATCTGGCTTGTTTCTGAGAACTTAAAACTCTTTGCTTTATCTGTTTAATTACAAATAATGTTTTAAATAATACTCTGTGTATCTCTTTGTGCATGTATAATATTTCAACTAAAATATTTATCTAATGTGTTAGATATACTAGATATATTACAGTGGAATTTCTGGGTCCTAAGATAAGCATATTTTTAGATTTGCTCTCCAGAGTAATCATGCCAAGTGGTATATAAGTTTCTTAACATCCTTATCAAAACTTAATATTGTCAAACTTTAAAATTTTTAACCAGTCTTGTCGATATGAATCATACTTCTTTGTAGTTTTAATTTATATTTCCCTGATTGATACTAAGGTTGAACATTTAATCAAAGTTTATTGGCCCATTTGTTTCTTCTTTTGTGAATTTCCCATTCATTCTTTTTCTCTATTTTTCTATAGGGCTATTTGATATGAAGGAAATCTTTATAATTCTAAATACTACTACTTTGTTGGCTTTATGTGTTACAAATATATTCTCCTAGGCCACTATTTTTACTTGTTAATTGTGTCTTTAATTTTAATAGAGTCAAATTAATACTTTTAATGGTTTTTGAATTTTGCGTCAAAGAAATCTTTAATAAACAAAAGTTATAAACATGTTATCCTATACTCCTTCTAGATGCTTTATGTTTCACATTTAGAACATGTATATGTTTTATTTGTTTTTATTTTTTTGAGATGGAGTCTTGCTCTGTCACCCATGCTGGAGTGCTATGGCACAATCTCGGCTCACTTCAACCTCTGCCTCCTGGGTTCAAGCAATTCTTCTGCCTCAGCCTCCCTAGAAGCTGGGATTACAGGCGTGAGCCACCACACCCAGCTAATTTTTGTATTTTTACTAGACACGGGGTTTCATCGTGTTGGCTGAGCTAGTCTGAATTTCTGACCTCAGGTAATCCACCCACGTCGGCCTTCCAAAGTGCTGGGATTTCAAGCATGGGCCACTGCACTCAGCTGAGAACTTGTTTATGTTTTAAAGTAGGTGTCTTTTTTTTTCCTCACATGGACAAATGGTTATTTTAGCATCAATTATCAAAGAGTCTAATTTTTCTTCATTGATTTGTAATGTCTTCTTCAAGGACCTAGATTAGTACAGAAGCTGTAGAATTAAAATTGCGGAAGGAAGTACTTTGAGAAAGTTTGTGAAGGTACAATCAATAAGACAGCCACTTAGAAAGTGGCAAGGGAAAGAGAGCTCACAGACA